TGTTGCTTCTGGGTCCTAATAGGTATCTTCTGGCTGGCTGCCTGAAGGGGCTAAGGGTCTTACAGTTCACTATTGGGCTTTCTTGTAATCTTGATTCATTCAGAGCCCCTTCCACATCAGTTGTGATCCCACTGTACCCTGTCCCTGGACTAGACTTCCAGTCTTGCTCTTTGTCTCAGGGCAGGGTTGGCTGCCTGGCATGAGAAAGAGGGCCGGGGCTGTGATTATAACTTACATGGACTTGAAGCCAGTTCTTCTTTAGAGTTTCCAGCTTTTGAAGCAGATGCCCCTGCTAGGTTCAGAAAATTATCTTTATGCTTTAAATCTGTTTTAGAGGGAAAGTAGAAAAAGATTTTATAGGCCGGGTGTGGTGGCTTACACCTGTAATCCTAGCACTCTGGGTGGGTGAGGCAGGCGGATTGCTCAAAGTCAGGAGTTCGAAAGCAGCCTGAGTGAGACCTCGTCTCTACTAAAAATAGAAAGAAATTAATTGACCAACTAAAAATATATATTCAAAAAATTAGCCAGGCATGATGGCACATGCCTGTAGTCCCAGCTACTTGGGAGGCTGAGGCAATAGGATCACTTGAGCCCAGGAGATTGAGATTGCTGTGAGCTAGGCTGATGCCATGGCATTCACTCTAGCCTGGGCAACAAAGTGAGACTCTGTCTCAAAAAAAAAAAAAAAAGAAAGAAAAAAGAAAAAGATTTTACAGATGCTTTAGTGATGGAACTTGGTATGTTTGACACTTTGCCCATTTCACAAAAAATTTGACTTTTTACTGAGAGAAAATTCACATAACATTCACTGTTTAAACCATTATAAAGTGTACCATTCAGTGGTTTTTAGTATATTCAGTGTTGTGCAACCATTGCCATTACCTAATTCCTAAACATTTTCATCAACCCAGTAAAAACCCTGTATCATTCTCTTTTTTTTTCATTTTTCTTTTTTTCTTTTGTGTTTTATAATTGGAGGTTGCTGTAACCATGTACCATTAAACAGTCAATTCTCAAATTCCCGTCTTCCCCTCCTCTCTGGCCTTGGCAACCATTCTACTTCTGTCTATGGATGTGCCTATTTTTGGACATTTCACATAAATGAATTCATACAATATGTGGCCTTTTGTGTCTGGCTTCTTTCACTTAGCATAATGTTCATCCATGTTGTAGCATACATCAGTACTTTGTTCCTTTTTATGGCTAAATATGGCTATCCATTGTATGGATAGACCATTTTGTTTATCCATTTTATTAGCTGGTAGTCATTTGGGTTTTTTTTTTTTTTTTTTTTTGAGACAGAGTCTTGCTTTGTTTCCCAGGCTAGAGTGAGTGCCGTGGCGTCAGCCTAGCTCACAGCAACATGAAACTCCTGGGCTCAAGCAATCCTACTGCCTCAGCCTCCCGAGTAGCTGGGACTACAGGCATGCACCACCATGCCCGACTAATTTTTTCTATGTATATTTGTTGGCCAATTAATTTGTTTCTATTTATAGTAGAGACGGGGTCTCACTCTTGCTCAGGCTGGTTTCGAACTCCTGACCTCAAGCAATCCACCTGCCTCGACCTCTCAGAGTGCTAGGATTACAGGCATGAGCCACGGCGCCAGGCCTGGGTTTTTTTGCTATTAATAATGCTCTCATATCAACATTCTTGTATAAATTTTTGTTTGAACATGTTTTCAACTGTCTTAGGTAGATACCTAGTAGTGGAATTGCTGGGCCACATGGTAACTATATTTAACTTTTTGAGGAACTGTTAGACTATTCTCCATAGTGACTGCACCATTTTATATTCCCACCAGAAATGAATGAGGAGTCCAATTATTTGACATATTACATTAGGAATATATACAGTGAAATAGAAAGAAACCAGCAATTTGGACCAGGGAACATATTAACTTATGTGTTATCATAAATTTTAATATTGGAGTTGAGAGAAAGAAAAGCGGCACAAATGGGTTAGCCAGAAGGGCTGGTATTAAGCCTTGCCTTTGGCTCTGAGTTTCTTTGCAGCCAAAACAAAAACAGAAATAAGTCAGTTATAAAGTCCTTACTGTAATAGGTGCATTTCCACAGGACAAGTAAAATTTTGCTATGAGTAAATTCTAAATTTTATAGAGTATGCCGGGCATGGTGGCTCAACACCTATAATCCTAGCATCCTGGGAGGCTGAGGGGGGAAAATCACTTGAGATCAGGAGTTCAAGACCAGCCTGAGCAAGAGCGAGACCCTGTCTCTGCTAAACAAATAGAAAAAATTAGCCAGGCAACTAAAAATAGGAAAAATTAGCCAGGTGTGGTGACGCGTGCCTGTAGTCCCAGCTACTCAGCAGGCTGAGGCAGGAGTATCACTTGAGCCAGGAGTTTGAGGTTGCTGTGAGCTAGGCTGACTCCATGGCACTGTAGCCCAGGCAACAGTGAGATTCTGTCTCAAAAAAAAAAAAAAGTTAAAAACAAATACATTTTGTAGAGTAACCTTATTAGAGAATTTTTGATTAATGGAGTGGTCAATGCCTTTGGATCCTGTTCTATAGCAAACTATGCTGACTTCATTATTTATGTAGACAATAAAAGAACAGAGGTGCTGTCATTCAGTGATGGTAGGACTAAAATATATTTCAGGTAGATTAGTGTGAAATTAGAAAATGATGGAATTTTAGGTGTGTGTAGATCATATTTGCAAACGTGAGTTTTCCATTTAAGTCTCTCTTCTGATCCTGGAGGAATAGCTTGGAGCTTGGTCCTTTTCATGGCCTGGCTCTGGGGAATATCCTGAAAGCCTTACAGCTGTCCCAGTGTTGAGGCCTCAAGGTGCCTCTCTGCTTGGTTAAATTCACTGAATGGTTAGCATGGGCTGTAGCTGACATCTTAGCCAGTGGGAGGGTGGGGGCAGTGAGGCCTGCTGTGTCCTAAGTAAAGCCCAGCAGAAAGGACCTGTGAGGTTTGCTCAATCTCAGACTAGGAAGGGATGGTCTTCCTGCCTCCCCTCCACCCTCTGCCCCATCTTTCTCTTTCCCTAACATATCTGTATTTCTTAATTTCTGCCTCTCTTGTTGAGAACATAAGCTCTTTAAGAATAAGGAATACATTTTGTTTATTGCTCTATTTGCAAATGCTGGAACAGGCCTGGTGCTCATTGAATGTTTTCAACATTGCCTGTTGTTGTTCAGGTCCTTTTCTCCACCTTCTGAGAGCAATGCCCCTCCCTTCATTTTGGAGACCCCCTGCCTCTATTCCATGTGGTCCTACAGGGGCTTCTCAGCCTGTCCAGCCACTTAACGTGTTAGATCATATTTTATATGTATTCTGTGAATGTAAATCACTAGTTATATAATTCCTAAGCACTTCTTTAAAAAACAGCAATATGATGCTTAACTCTTTAGGGGAGGTGGTGGGAGACAGAGTCTTGCTTCTTTGGCCAGGTCTACAACTCTTGGCCTCAAGTAATCCTGCCTCTGTTTCCCAAAGTGCTGGTGGGATTACAGGCATGAACCTATGGCCAAGAACTTCCTTCCTTTTTAAAGCTGAATAATGTTGTATCGATAAACTACATTTTGCTTATCCATTCATCTGTCAGTGGACTCTTAGGTTGCTTCTACCTTTTGGTTATTGTGAATAATACTGCCATGAACATGGATGTACAAATATCTCTTCAAGTCCCTGCTTTCAATTCTTTTGGTGGGCAGAATGTTTTTTACTGTTTTGTTCAGTGCTGTAACCCCAGTACCTAAAAATCAGTGTCTGTCACGTAGTAGGCACTTTATAAATATTTGAAAGAATGAAATAAGAATGTTTTGTTTCTTAATTCATCTTAAATATTTTCATCTCTATCAGCTTTTTTCCTTGGTGATTTGTTAAGATTTATCATCTGTTATATTTTTAGCTGGGTCTGGTCTGCTGTATTTGACTCAACAACTGAGTTTTTTATTTCAAAGCCTGTTTCCAAGCCTGCAAGTTATAAAAACAATAATTTCCTGTTCTTATTTTGTAGAAGACCTTCCACATTATCCTGTGCCTGGTTCCTTGGGAATCTCCCACTATATGCTCTGGCTTCCAGCTTACTCTGTGGAAGTCATCTGAGTGGGTCTTCTGAGTGCTTTGGACCCATGAGCAGTTTCCTGGTTGCCTTTGCAGAGTCTTACCAGTGTCACTCATTCTGGACACTTGTTTTGATATAAATTTCATGTCTCAGGATTTGGGACATCATAGCTTTCTGAGACAAAGGCTTGGAATTCAGATTTCTTAAGGGAGATTCTATCACCCCAGTGGCCTCTGGTGGGTGTTTGCTGAGGGCCCAACCCTAGGCTGGCCAGTAGAGGGGCTCAGGTGATGATGACAACACTATGACGGCAGATACCTGGTGATTGGAGAGTCCTCTGCCTGGCAGTGCTTTCTCTTCCTTCTTAATGTTTAGACCCTACAAAGTCAGTCCTCTGTCTCCAGGACACGGAGTTAGGATGAGAGGTAGTTACTTGCCCAGGGTCCCACAATTAAGTGATGGCAGAGCCAGGATTACAGCCCGGGCAGTAGTCTCTACACTTTGCTCCCAGCCACTGCCAGGTAGGTCCAGGTCCTTGTTCTGCTCCTCTGCTCTGCATTCTGGCTGCCAAGCCCCCAGCTCGTAAAGCTTGGGATCCTGTCAGGGGCAGCCTGCATCCTACGAGGCTCAGGCTGTTGTTCCTTCTTCATTCATAAGACCTGGAGATTTCCCTTGCTTGCTTTGAGTTAGGTAGCATAGCTAACTTTTCTTTAAAACAGTATGTTAAGCCAGTCACGGTAGCTCACACCTGTAATCCCAGCACTCTGGGAGACTGAGTCTGGAGGATCTCTTGATCTCTGGAGTTCAAAACCAGCCTGGGCAACGTAGCAAGGCCCTGTCTCTTAAAAAAAAAATTAGCAGGGTGTGAGTGGTACAGCTATTACGTATAGTCCCAGCTACTTGGGAGGCTGAGGCAGGAGGATCACTGGAGCCCCAGGAGTTTGAGGATGGAGTGAGCTATGATCATACTGCTGCACTGTAGCCTAGGTGACAGAATGAGAACTTGTCTCTTAAAAAAAAAAAAAATTTAGCCATCTTCACCAAAAATCTTCTGTAATCTGCTAACATGGTGACAACATTAATCGAGTTACTGATATTGAGTCATCCTTACATTTTTGGATAAACCCTCTTTGGCCATGGTATCTTATTCTTCTAACTTAGTAGTGGATGGGTTTGATTTACTTCTATTTTTTTAAAATAATTCTTGATTGATCTTGATCTATAGCTTTTTTTTATACCCTTTTTTGTTTTCTGGTTTTGGTATGAGGGTTATGCCAACATTGCATAATGTTTTTGGGAAACTTTACATCATTTTCTGTGTTCTGTATTTCCATCATCTTTTATAAATAGCTTAAACAATTTATGAAATATTTACGTGATGAATGATACACAGTAGTTAAAGACTGAGCTATATTTATACATATCAACACAGATAAAAATATGTTGAGTGATCAAATTGCAGAGCAAAGGCATAACGTAGGATTTATAGAAATACAAACCACGTGCCATAATTCTGTGTTAATGGATATATACTACAGACTGGGAGGATGTATAGTAAATTCATGATGGATATTGCCTCTGGAGGAGAATACATGGAACTTATATTTCGAGAATAAGGTAGACTGCCTCTGTGTGTGCTTTATTCATTCACTCCTCATCAGAGACCTGTGGGAGGTGATACCTGAAGTAGGTTGTCTGTGTCTGAGAGACCTGTGGGAGGTGATACCTGAAGTAGATTGTCTGTGTCTGAGTGTTGCCTATCTCCTAGCTGGATGACCCAGGTGTTAGTCTCTGTACTTATGGAACAGAATAGTTACACCTGTCTCACACTGTTGTGGGTGTGGAGGTGGACAGTCTCACTAGGTGACCCTGGTTTCCCACTCCTGGGAGCCCCATGAGGGCTGGCTCCTGTTGCTCATTTCCTCTCGGAGATCTCAGATCTGGAGATCCTGCCTTAACATAGAAGTGCTACAGGGTAACATTAAAGACATATTTGTAGTTGTTATTATCTGTAGTTTTTTCTTCTTTCATATAAAAACGACTTGAAGCAAATGTAGCAAAATGCTAAAAATTGTCTTTCAGGGTGATGGATATGTTACTTTGTCCTATTGTTTTTCATACTGCATTTAAGAACTTAACCCCTCCCTGCCTTCCCCAATAAAAGAATGATTATTCATTGAAGGGGTGGTAAGACTAGCTATTATAGTTCTCTTCATTAGTTGTTGGGCTTTCAGGTTTTTTCCTCTTGGGTTAGTTTTTTTTTTTTTTTTTCTTTCTGATAAAGGAAGCAACTACAGAAAGCTTTTATTTTTTCAAAGTAACCAGTGCTATTGATGCAACCCCCCCAACAACTCTCTCAATACTACTTTCAAAACAAATGTATCAAACTTGATTTATTAGATGTAGTTATTTTCTTCACACTAGTAAATCAAAAACCAAGACCTAGATTTTATATATATATATAGAGAGAGAGAGAGAGAGAGAGAGCGCGAGCGAGCGAGCGTGCGCGCGCGAGTGAGCAATGCAAACAATTATTGAGCTTCATCTTCTGGACAAGAATGCCAAGTTAGTCTCTCTTCATAAAAAGCAATTACAATTTGAGGACACTTCATATTTGCCTCTTTTGCCAGCACCATATCTGCCTCATCTGAATCTTTCCATTTCATAAGAAACATTAATTCTCCACTGCTATCTGTGGCACCAATTATTCTTTCAGGATCAAGACCTCTGGCAAAGCCTCTTGGTTTGTCAGCAGCATCTCTTTTCTTCTTTGATTTGCTATCATCAGATTCACTGTCAGATAAAGATTTTCTTTTTGTACCATCTTTTCCTTTACCAGCTTTTTGAGAATTAAGAAATGCTTCGATTAACTGGACAATCCAATTTTCTTCAGGTTCCCAAGTATTGTCAGCATCTGTAAATCCCTTCCACTTCAGGAAATACTCCACTTTCCCATTTACAACACGTCGATCCAGTACTTTTTCCACCACAAATTCTTCAGGCTCTGCCTCTTCAACCTTTTTACTCTTCCCATTCTGTTTCTTTCCCATTTTTTGCAATGTAGTTTTATTGGAGGCCATTTTTTATTGCAGACATGAAAAGCTATTATTCACCGCCTCTGAGCTGCTCCAGGTCGCGGGTCTACGGCGTCTCTCCTTGGGTTAGTTTTGAATATGTTTTGTAGTTTTCTTTTTTCTTTCTTTCTTTTTTTTTTTTTTTTTTTTTTTTGAGACAGAGTCTTGGTTTATTGCCCAGGCTAGAGTGAGTGCTGTGGTGTCAGCCTAGCTCACAGCAACCTCAAACTCCTGGGCTCAAGCAATCCTCCTGCCTCAGCCTCTCGAGTAGCTGGGACTACAGGCATGTGCCACCATGCCCAGCTGATTTTTTTCTATGTATATTAGTTGGCCAATTAATTTCTTTCTATTTATAGTAGAGACGTGGTCTCACTCTTGCTTAGGCTGGTTTCGAACTCCTGACCTTGAGCAATCCGCCCGCCTCTGCCTCCCAGAGTGCTAGGATTACAGGCGTGAGCCATCACGCCCGGCCTGTAGTTTTCTTGAAATGCTAGAAAAAGTGAAAAGTTTCCTAATTTGTTCGTATGACTTTGATTAAGAAAAACTTTTATAAAGATAAAATCAATTGATCAGTAACTAAGAGTGCTGCAGAGCAAAGGCAAACCCTGTCTGTAGGAGCCCATGCCTTAAAGCTTCGGTGAGGCCGGGCACGGTGGCTCGTGCCTGTAATCCTAGCTCTCTGGGAGGCTGAGGTGGGCGGATTACTCGAGGTCCCGGGCTAGAGTGCAGTGGCTTCAGCCTAGCTCACAGCAACCTCTAACTCCTGGTCTCAAGTGATCCGCCTGCCTCAGCCTTCTGAGTAGCTGGGACTATAGGCACATACCACCATGCCTGGCTAATCTTTTTCTTCTATTTTTAGTTGCTCAGCTAATTTTTTCTATTTTTTGTAGAGACAGGATCTCACCCTTTCTCAGGCTGGTCTCGAACTCCTGACCTCAAGAGATCCTCCTGCCTTGGCCTCCCAGAGTGCTAGGATTATAAATGTGAGGCACCGTGCCTGGCCTTGCCTTCAGTCTTGCAGGTTATTTTTTCTGGGTATAAAATTTTGGTTGATGGATTTTCTTTCAGTGCTTAAATATCATTCTACTGTCTTCTGGCCTCTGTATGTTTTTGAACATAGTTATTATAATAGATGTTTTAAAGTCCTTGTCTGATGAATTTCAGTATTGGGCCATTTTAGGATTGGTTTCTGTTGTTTCCCTGTTTCTTCATGTGTTTAGTAATTTTGGATTCTTTCCTAGATATTATGAATGATATGTTGTAGACATATGGATTCTGTTATATTCCTTTTTTTTTTTTTTTGAGCCAGAGTCTCACTCTGTCCCCCAGGCTGGAGTGTAGTGGTGTGATTGTAGCTCACTGAAACCTCAAACTCCTGGGCTCAAGCCATCCTCCTGCCTCAGCCTCCCACATAGCTGGGACTACAGGCTTGTGCCAGCACGCCTAGCTAATTTTTTATATTTTTGGTAGAGATGGGGACTTGCTTTTGCTTAGGCTGGTCTCAAACTCCTGAGCTCAAGTGATCCTCCTGCCTCGGCCTTGCGGAGTGCTAGGATTAGAGGTGTCAGCCACTGAGCCCGGCCTATATTCCTTTTAAAAGTGCTTTTTGCTTTGTTTTTCTCCAGCAGCTGGAACCTCATGTCAGTTATTTATAAACTAGGCTGCTTAGAGTCTGCCTGGAATTTGGGCAAAGTTTATATGCAGAATTTGGAATTCTCATTCTGGGACTCTCTCCTTTTTGAGGTTTCCCCCTTTTACAGCTGTTACAGTTGCTTCAAATTCTCCTCAGGCACAAATCTAAAAATTGAGTTCAGCCAGTGTTGTTCAGTTTCTTTCAAGAGTTGACTCTATCCATTTACTTCCTGCTTTTGGTTACTTTTGGTGCTTTCAGGTAGTTTTTTGTATTTTGTCCAGGGTTTATAGTTTTTACCTACAGGATAGTTGGTCTGATATGAGCTGGAAGAAGAACCTATACCTCTCTCAAGTGGTGATAATCAGAAGTGTTTCCAGACAGAGCTAAAAATCCCTGGGCATCCCTGTTCCTTATTGTTCTCAACTTTTCCCCAGTGTCTGATATTGTTGGTTGCTGCCTTCTCAGAGGGATCTCGTTGGATGGAGTCTGTGATGGAGACACTTGGGAGATGTTTTCCCATTTGGGGTGGGTGCTTGCCTATTCCTGATTTCTAGCTTTGTCCCCTTCACCGTGTGTCTCAGGTTGGAGACTGTAGCTTCACAGTGAAGACTCCACATCATCACACTGCATCCAGAGGGGTCTTTTTTTTTTTTTTTTGAGACAGAGTCTCACTCTGTTGCCCAGGCTAGAGTGAGTGCCGAGGCGTCAGCCTAGCTCACAGCAACCTCACACTCCTGGGCTCAAGCAATCCTGCTGCCTCAGCCTCCCGAGTAGCTGGGACTACAGGCATGCACTACCATGCCCGGCTAATTTTTTCTATATATATTAGTTGGCCAATTAATTTGTTTCTATTTATAGTAGAGATGGGGTCTTGCTCTTGCTCAGGCTGGTTTCGAACTCCTGACCTCGAGCAGTCCTCCTGCCTCGGCCTCCCAGAGTGCTAGGATTACAGGCGTGAGCCACCGTGCCCGGCCCAGAGGGGTCTTTCTAAAACTACCCCCTTCTCCACTTGGGCCTCCATATGGCCAGGGTGGCATGTTGACTGTTTTCTCTGTGTTGTAGAGTAGTGCTTGTTATAGCTTAGCAGTGTTGCCCTTGACTGGTTAATCTTCAGGTGATAGCTAAATAAAATTTAATGTTACTGCAGTGTTCCTTGTGGTGTTCAATTTGGGCATGAACAAGGAGGGGTTTGGGGACAGAGATTAGAATGCTAGTTTGAGCACAAATTAGATCTGACCCCAGGTACTTTTGCACTTGGTCACTATTCGTGTCTTGTTTCTTTTTTCATCAGTCTGGGGCTAAGGCTGTGTTGGGGTTGGAAGATCTGATTTTAGACATGTTGACTAGGTGTTCCTGGGCATGGTACTGAGTCTGGGATGAGCTCTTTTCCTATTGTTGTTTATTTTGCTTTCAAGCACCTCCCCATTGTCCTGCACAGGCCTGACATTGTGTTAGCTGCCTCACACACAGTGGCTCTTTGAAGTGTATACTGTACTGGTGGGCAGGTGGTAATCAGCTTTTCAATGGTGACTGGACAGGTTAAGTCATGCGTCCATGGCCATGCTGACTGCTAGTGGTAGTGCAAACTAGAGTTTGCCATCCTTGACTGACTGGTGTGTTCTCCCTTTTAAAGGTGATTCCTTGTTGCCTTTCCTTTCAGCTTTATCATTTTGTGATTCCGTGTCATTGTTGTGATATTAAAACTGCCTCCTGCAACCTAAATCATTACATAAAACTTCATAAATTGCTTTAAAAAAACACCAAACCCCACAAAGCTGTACATGTGTTGACATACTTATTCTAGGTTTAAATGTAATATGTTGCTTTTTCTTTTTTTCCTTCTTTTTAAATACTGTAGCGTTCTAAGAACGGAAGCATCTGGGCTAGATGGAATTTAGCATCAAAAAAAATCCTCTTTCTGTTCAGAAAGTTGTAAAGTGCATTAACATGAAGCAGGCACCAGAAATCCTTGGCAATACAAATGGAAAGACTCAGAGCTGTGAAGTGAATCGCGAGTGTTCGGTGTTCCTCAGCAAAGCCCAGCTTTCTAACAGTCTGCAGGAGGGCGTCATGCAGAAGTTTAATGGCCATGATGCACTTCCCTTTATTCCAGCTGAGAAGTTGAAGGATCTTACTTCCCGTGTATTTAATGGAGAACCGGGCACTCATGATGCCAAATTGCGTTTTGAACCCCAGGAAATGAAAGGAATGGGGACACCACCTAGCACTACCCCTATCAAAAATGGCTCTCCAGAAATTAAGCTTAAAATCACCAAAACATACATGAATGGGAAACCTCTCTTTGAGTCTTCCATCTGTGGTGACAGTGCTGATGTGTCCCAGTCAGGAGAAAATGGACAAAAACCAGAAAACAAGGCGAGGAGGAACAGGAAGAGGAGCGTAAAGTATGATTCCTTACTGGAGCAGGGCCTTGTCGAAGCAGCCCTAGTGTCTAAGATCTCAAGTCCTTCCGATAAAAAGGTATTTATGAGGAATTCTGACTGGGGTCACATGACGGTGAGCAGTGAGCATGGAACCGTGTGAGGGCACCTGCATGAGTGCAATGGTGGGCGGAAGAGATGGGGACTGCCCGGTGCATTCAGTGCTTGACTGAGCCCTGGCTATGGGTCAGGCATCAGGCTCCAGGATGCTCTGGCGTCGCCTCCTTAGGCCCCACAGCCAGCTGCTGAGCCTGTTGAGAGGCCTAGAGAGGTTAACTAGATGTTCAGGATTACAGGCCAAAAAGAGGCAAAACCAGTTTCTGACTCTAGGCCTGCTAGTTCCAGAGCCCTTGCTTGATGACTTGAGGCTATGCTGTTCTCATGGACCTCATTTTCAAGGCATTCTTTGGCCTGATGTGGTCAGTGTAGACACACTGGGCACCAATGTGAGACATCTCAAGCCTGCACTCTCTAATGAGTGGGAAGCAGAGCAGTGCTGTGCAGAGGTACTCCTGCTGTCCTCCCACATGGGTCCACTATCCACTTACCTATCTCTTCAGCCAAGTGGTCTAGCAGATGTTCTGCCTTCTTGAGGATTGGGGCTGTGTTCACTAATCAAAGGCTGGGAAGGAGAGCCCTAACTTAAGATGGAAGGACTTGGTGGTTTTTCTCCATTCTGCGTAGTGGTTGGTGTTATGGTGTCCTAAAGTGACAGTCTGGATGGCCCTAACATTTAAATGCGTATAAGCCATAAATGGTAGCCAAGGGCCCTTGGCCTTGGCAGAAGGAAATAGGGACAGGCCAGCAGCCTCCTCTCTCTGTCTGGATGATGGTCTAGAGGGTGTTGGTTTTTAGCTACAGCTCCAGGCCCACTTGGGGAGGTGGGGACAGGAAGCCTGAGACTAGTAGGAGTTGACATTGTCACCATGGTTGGGCTATTGAGTTTAAAATTGTAATCAAGGAACTTTAGAGTTTCCACAGATGGGGGAATGGCTGGAATTTCCTTGAAATCATTAAAATAATGAATAAGTTTGAGGGTTTAAAAAAAAATTTTTTTTTTTTTTTTGAGACAGAGTCTCGCTTTGTTGCCCAGGCTAGAGTGAGGGCCATGGTGTCAGCCTAGCTCACAGCAACCTCAAACTCCTGGGCTCAAGTGATCCTTCTGCCTCAGCCTCTAGAGTAGCTGGGACTATAGGCATGCACCACCATGCCCGGCTAAGTTTTTCTATATATATTAGTTGGCCAATTAATTTATTTCTATTTATAGTAGTGACAGGGTCTCGCTCTTGCTCAGGCTGGTTTAGAACTCCTGACCTTGAGCAATCCTCCTGCCTCGGCCTCCCAGTGTGCTAGGATTACAGGCGTGAGCCACCGCGCCTGGCCTAAAAAATTTTTTTTGAGTACTCAGGAACTGTTTAGCTCTTACTAATGTAATTATGGCAACGTTTTTAATTTTTTTAATTAAATTTTATTTTCTTATTTTTTTGAGATGGAGTGTCACTCTGTCACCTGGGTTAGAGTGCTGTGGCATCAGCCTAGCTCACAGCAACCTCAGACCCCTGGGCTCTAAGTGATTCTTCTGCCCCAGCCTCCCAAGTAGCTTGGATTACAGGTGCATGCCAACTCCTGGCTTATTTTTTTCTATTTTTAGTAGAGACAGGGTCTTGCTCTTGCTCAGGCTAGTCTCGAACTCCTGAGCTCAAGCGATCCTCCAGCCTCGGCCTCCCAGAGTGCTAGGATTACAGGCGTGAGCCACTGCACCTAGCTGAACTTCATGCTTTTACAGGGGAAGTGGCCTATGCAAATTGTCAGAGACCTGGCTTTTATTCCTAGCTCTGCCACTTGGTTTTGTTAAAACTTGGGTACATCACCTAAATTTTGACTTCCACCTACAAAGTGGGGACAATAACTGTAACCCTGAAGGTATGTAATATGGCAGCTCAAGCCAGCCCTCAACAGCATACACATAGATCTTTGTGACTGCCAGTGAGATTTCAGGGCTAGTATCCTCAGCTAAGAGATGAGGAGACTGAGGCCCACAGCAGTTCAATAGCTTGCCTAGGTACATAGTGCTCTTAGAAGGAGGGTTAGGAATTTACCTTCAGAGAGGTCAGGACCCTGGTGGTATGCTTGTTCCCACGAGAGTGCAGAACCAAGAGTGGCTTGGGGAGGAGTTTGCCCATGACAGGATGTTCAGCCTCATAAACTACTCACGTGCCAGAGATGGAGAAATAGCCTCACAGAGCCCGAGGACTCAGCTCACAAGTGGTGGAGCTAGGAGTTGATCCAGCCCTGCTCTTACCACACTCACCTTCATGTCAGGTGACACATGTACTTCTGATAATTGATGGTGAGACATGAACCTGGGGGCAGGGGGCAGTAAAAATTCGGTGTTCTGTGAGAATTCCTCTTTAACTGGTTGAATAAAGAACCATTAAAGATAGTCCACCAGGCCAAGGGAATAGGTTTATAGAGAGATCCTTGTAGTGTTGAACACTTGTGTGGGCCAGGCACTGTGCTGTTGACCCTTTAGCTGAGGGTGAGAGAGAGACACACATGGTTTCCAAGAAGTGATATTGGGGCTATTATCTAAAACACAGCAAGGAGTGCATGCTCCTTTTTTGGGGATCTATATGTGTTTTGAGCCTCCAGCCTGATTAATCTTGGGTCTTGTATGGATAGAAGGCTAGATTTAGGGGTAGTTATTAGATATGTTAGTATTTGTCTTTGTTGTTCATTTTCAGATTCCAGTTAAGAAAGAGTCCTGCCCAAACACTGGCAGAGACAAAGAGCACCTGTTGAAATATAACATCGGTGATTTGGTGTGGTCCAAAGTGTCGGGTTACCCTTGGTGGCCTTGCATGGTTTCTGCAGATCCACTCCTTCACAACTATACCAAACTTAAAGGTATTGTGTTTTTGGGGCTGTTTTCCCATTTTTCTCTTTTGCATTTAGTCTTTCTCATCTCTAGCCTTCTTACTGTTCCTTAACTAGCCCTACTATTTATATGTGCACTGATTGCTTATTTCAGCATGATTTGCAGAAATAGTATTTTATACTAAGTTTAAATTATAAAAATGTCCATGATTATTAGGCTAATGGGGAGAGAGAAAGCAACTAGAAATGATCATCTTTGTCTTACAAAACTTGGGTAGGTGAATTGATTTGTACATGGAACAGCTAAAGTAATATATTAAGAATGTAGTATGTCATTGATACAAACAAGTACTTATATAACAATTGGGCACATGCAATCTATGCATGCATTTTTGGAGGAAACATAAAGGATCAGGTGGTTTGAGATTTTTCTGGAAAATCTTCTAAAGTTTGCATTTAGTTTAAGGAAGGTGAGATGTGGCAAGTACAGAGTTGGAGCGCAGCAGGTTAGTGCCCCCATGACCTGTGCACCCTTCAGAAGCGTGGGCAGCTAGAGTCATTACTGGACCAGGCCAGTGCTCCAGCCCAGTACTGCCAACAGTCAGCCTTGTATGGCCCCTCTTGGTCTCTAGCTGGAGGCCTGAGCTCTCAGAGGAGCAGCATTGCTGCTCTCATTCTGCACTTACTTAGGTCCCTACTCTGCCACCCAAGTAGCCAAACAGGCCTGTCAGCTGGGAGTGGGATAAAATGACACCTCTTTGGCAAATGTTGACTTTAGGAGGGATGGGTTCAGGATATAGAGGACCTTGCTTGAGTCCCAGGTGCCCCTGCCTGAGTCCTGCCCGAGTCTTCTGTCTCATGGGAGTGGTTGGCCTCTGCTATGGAGGCTCAGGCATGCATGTGTGCCCTACTGTAGGACTTGTGGCAGGAGAAGAGCCCATTGCCTGGCTTCAGCTCTGCATCCACGAAGGACCTTTGGCATCCTTGGCTTGCCACACTTGGGGGAGTCCCTTCCAAGGGGCTGCAGGAACCCCAGGGTATACTCCAAGTTATCTAGACTTGGTGAGAGTATGAAAGAAAATGCTGGTTCAGACAGAAGGTGTCCCCCCTTTTGGGGATAGACCATCATGCTTCTGCAGCCAGTGTCCAGCCACATACAGGTGTGTGTGAGGGATTGCCAGCTCCTTCTTAGCTTTCTAAAACTGGGGCTGGTGCCCACACAGCAAACCTGGTGACTTTCACATCTTTTGTCTGCATGACATACCACAAGCAACTCTTGCTGATTTCTTTTTTTAGTTCTGGGGATTTTTAGTTTATATGAAGTCATCTCAAGCTTCTAACCTTCATACCTATGAAACTGAAGTAGTCTTCTTTTTTGAGACAGGGTCTCACTTTGTCACCTAGGTTGGAATCTAGTGTCAGTGATCATAGCTCACTGCAACCTGGAACTCCTGGCCTCAAGCGATCCTCCTGCCTCAGCCTCTCAAGTAGCTGGGACTATAGGCACACGCCACCACACCCGGCCAATTGTTTTCTGTTTTTAGTAGAGGTGGGGGTCTCACTCTTGCTCAGGCTGGTCTTGAACTAACTGACCTCTAGTGATTCTCCTGCCTCAGCCTCCCAGAGTGCTAGGATTACAGGCGTGAGCCACTGTGCCCGGCCTTTATACCCATTTTTAAGTGTCTTCATGTAACTAGGTGTTTGCCCAGTTTTCAAAACAATGCCAAATAGTCATACTTGGAGTCTATCTTTTTTGTGTATATAAGCTATTTTATTTATTGTTTGCTTATTTGTTTTTTTTTTTTTTTTTTGGTGACAGTGTCTCACTCTGTTGCCTGAGCTAGAATGCCGTGGCATCAGCCTAGCTCCCAGCAACCTCAAACTCTTGGGCTCAGGCGATACTCCTACCTCAGCCTCCGGAGTAGCTGGGACTACAGACATGCGCCACCACGGCCGGCTAATTTTTCTTTCTATATATTTTTAGTTGGCCAATTAATTTCTTTCTATTTTTTTAGTAGAGACGGGGTCTCGCTCTTGCTCAGGCTGGTTTCGAACTCTTGACCTTGAGCGATCCACCTGCCTCGGCCTCCCAGGATTACAGGCGTGAGCCACTGTGCCTGGCCACTTATTTGTATTTTTATTTATTTAAAAAACTTTCAAGGCCAGGTGCAGTGGCTCACACCTGTAATCCTAGCACTCTGAGAGGCCGAGGCAGGAGGATTGCTCGAGATCAGGAGTTCGAAACCAGCCTGAGCAAGAGCGAGACCCCATCTCTACTATAAATAGAAAGAAATTAATTGGCCAACTAATATATATATATATAGAAAAAGTAAGCCGAGTGTGGTGGCGCATGCCTGTAGTCCCAGCTACTTGGGAGGCTGAGGCAGAAGGATTGCTTGAGCCCAGGAGTTTGAGGTTGCTGTGAGCTAGGCTGACGCCACGGCACTCACTCTAGCCTGGGCAACAAAGCGAGACTCTGTCTCAAAAAAAAATAAAAAATAAACTTTCAAGCCCACTGGTCAAATTAGAATAGCACAGTGGAGACCCATTCCCCTTGTCTCGATCCAGTGACTTTTAACATCTTGTTTTGCCTGTTCTATTTCTTTCTCTAGATAAACACCCTTCTTTGCCAAACTGCGTGAATATAGGCTGTAGATGTCATGGCACTAAACTCCTAACAATGCCAGGTCAAGGACAGTTTCCTTGGCAACTAAGCATTCAACCACTCTTCAGGAAACATTATGTCAAGAATGTTGCCTGTCATTATGTTCCTAGCTGAGAGTTCCTCAGCTGTCCTGGTATTCCCAATACTTGTGTTTTCCTACACTTGGGGATTGAGATGCATGCTCTGCCTCTGGCTGTCCTGCCTCTTCAGCTTCCTCTGGTCTAGAGTAGCACCCTAAACCTCCAGTCCTCAGGACTGCTCTAGATCCCTCATGAGCAGACCCAGGTCAGAAAGGCCAGGCTGGAGCTGAGGAGCCTTGAAAGGTGGCTTTCCCTTTATGTGTGCAGAAGGGGGTGTCCCCTGTCAGCCTAGGCCAGGGAGTAGCCCTGCTAACCCCAAATAGTCTGCTTCTCTAGGAATTGTTGGATGCGGGAAGCAGGTCCTCGTAATCACATACAAACCAACTTCAGAAGACTTGATAATGTGCATTTGAAAAGCAGTTCAGAAGGAGGTGAGCCAGGATGGACACCCTCCAGCTGAAAGGAAGTTCAGAAAACCTTTACGAAGAAAGGGGTCAAAGGAGCCCATGAGGGAAGTGAGAGAAATGAAGTGAGAGAAGGACGGTAGGCCAGGCAGACCATGCCTGGAAGGGCTTGTGGGGCAGCTGATGCCCCTTAGTAGGTGGGGCCCTCAGAACTCTCCGTGGAAGGGCCCCCTCCCAGGGTCATGAATGCATGGGATCTGGATTCCCTTGCAGCCCAGGTGTTAGTGGTCCTTGATGATCTATTGACTTATAAAATGGTAACTATCTATTTTTGTTATGCTTTCTATATTTTAGCTGGCATTTTTCTGTGAAAATGATCTCCTCCCTAAAATAACTAGTTGTGTATTATAGTCCTTATTTTTTTATGTTCTCATCAGCCATTGAGTATTTCCTTATCTCTGGTCTAACATACCTCCCAGGCTCATCTTGTACTTTTTTTGCTCTAGTCCTGGAATCAGCTATTTCTCTGGGAAGGCCTGAGGTCCTTTTTGTAGAGAACAGTATGTAGAAGCCCAGATCTGGGCACTAGTTGTGTTCATTGCTCCAGGAAACAGAATTTGCCAGGGATACATGTGAAGTGGGTCTCTAGGCAGTGCTGAGCCCTGGCTCGAAGTGGAGCTTTTGGGTCCATTTATAACTCCCCACCTCTTGGCCTGCAGCACTCCACAGTGGGAGTGAGATGGTGAGTGGTGGGTGTCCTTGTTGGGGAAGGGCAGGGATGGAGAAGAGGTAGCTCCTGGCGTGGAGCAAGCTATGTACATCCTGTGAAGCAGGTGCTTTTATTTCTCTGTAAGATGGAGCCTCCTCACCCTATCCCCAATTTCTATCCCAAATTTTCTTTCTTTTCTCTTTTTTTTTTTTTTTTTTTGAGACAGAGTCTCACTCCATTGCTTGGGCTAGAGTGCCGTGGCATCAGCCTAGCTCACAGCAACCTCCAACTCCAGGGCTCAAGCAATCTTGCTGCCTCAGCCTCCTAGGTAGCGGGGACTACAGGCATGCGCCACCATGCCCGGCTAATTTTTTCTATATGTTTTTAGTTGGTCAATTAATTTCTTTCTATTTTTAGTAGAGATGAGGTCTCGCTCTTGCTCAGGCTGGTTTCGAATTCCTGACCTTGAGCAATCCGGCCTCCCAGAGTGCTAGGATTACAGGCGTAAGCTACCGTACCTGGCCCCAAATTTTCTTTATTTTAATTTAGAATGTCATGCTTGGGATTTATAGACCTGCTTGAATCTGTATATCTTAGTAATATACTTATATTTTTGAAACTGTCGCATGATATACATGCAGAAGAGAACATAACTCATACTGGAGCTCAATCTAGATTCTTTTGAAAGTTTAAATTTCCTTTGGAAATCTAAGTTAATGAAAGTGTTAATAGCATTTTTGTGAGGGATAGCAGCAGAACTTGTCTTGGCTACTATCCACCAGGGTATATAGATGGTCTAGCAGCTTCGAGGCCTGACTCTTTAAGGTGGAGATAGAAGATAATTGTATGTTTTAGATATCATGCTATGGAGAAAACTGGATTCTGTTGCATCTGGGAACTCCATCATCTCCCTGTCACACCTGGATCCCACTGGTCTTTTCTTTAGAGTACTGCAGTCTAGAATCAAGTAATTTTCTATTGTGGAAATTATTTGTTGTGCTTTTTCTGTTATGGAAGGGTATCTTAAAAATTAACCCTTATTGCTTTATTTCTAGCATGTTCTAAAAATACTATAGGTAATCTGGCTTTCTCATGTCTTATGTTATTTGATAGTATAAGCTTTTTACTGATTTGTTTCTTTTTTGTTCTATCAGCTGCTGAGAGAGATGTGTTAAAATCTCCTACTGGGTAGTGGATGTGCGCTTTTCTACTATCAGTTTCTGATTTACCTAATTTTGGGGCTCTGGTACCCCCAGGGACTGAACCGGGAAACTCAGACCTGGTAATGCTTGTCTTTTTTTTTTTTTTTGGAGACATGGTCTTACTCTGTCATCCAGGCTGGCATGCAGTGGCATCATCACAGCTCACTGTAACCTCAAACTCCTGGGCTCAAGCGATCCTCCTGCCTCAGCCTCCCTAGTAGCTGGGACTATAGGTGTGCACCACTATGCTGGGCTAATTTTTCTATTTTTTGTAGAGATTGGGTCTCACTCTTGGGTTAGGTTGGTCTCGAACTCCTGACCTTAAGTGATCCTCCCTCCCTGGCTTCCCAAAGTGCTGGGATTACAGGGATGTGCCACTGCACCCAGCCTTGTGTTTTTATAGCTTCTCTTTCTCCTTTGAGCTTCAGTTCTCAGGCAGCCTTGTCTTTTGGTGGGGTTCATTCTGTATGCATAATTGGCTGTTTTCAATAGGTTCCACAGAATCAGGAGAAAGACTTGGCTCAGTCAGGCCCAGAGGTTCATGGGCTACCTGTGGCCTAATGGGCTGTGATGGGGAGGAAAGGAACATAGCCCAAAGGAGGCCCTAGGACTGCTTAGTGGAGGCCAGGTTTTCCTAGAAGTGCATAGAGGTGGAGGAGTCTAGGACAAGCTTTTTTATACAGACTGGGATTAGTGAACATCAGAAATTGGCATAGGAAGGAAGAAATACTAATAAATAGTACTGGGACAACTGGTTAATTATGCAGTAAAAGAAAACAGCAAGATGTTCACCTCTCAACTTGGACCAAAATAAAATTCATATGGATTAAAGATACCCACAAAATTAGGGGAAATTTGGGTTATTCTATCAAATTTCTAGATAGGAAAGAACATAAAAAATGTTGCACTAATTTATTTTATAAACTTGGGATCAGACTATAGTAATCTCTTGTGCTTTTTTCCCACCTGATATGTAAGGAACATCTCTCTGTCATTGACTATTTATAAACATGGTTTAAGTTTATATTTCATTATATGTACTGTAATAGATTTTCTTCATTATAAAAATGTTATGACAGGCCAGACGCGGTGGCTCATGCCTATAATCCTAGCACTCTGAGAGGCCGAGGCAGGCGGATTGCTCAAGGTTAGGAGTTCAAAACCAGCCTGAGCAAGAGTGAGACCCCGTCTCTACTATAAATAGAAACAAATTAATTGGCCAACTAATATATATAGAAAAAATTAGCCGGGCATGGTGGCGCATGCTTGTAGTCCCAGCTACTCGGGAGGCTGAGACAGTAGGATCACTTGAGCCCAGGAGCTTGAGGTTGCTGTGAGCTAAGCTGACACCACGGCACTCACTCTAGGCTGGGCAACAAAGCGAGAGACTGTCTCAAAAAAAAAATGTTATGACATATAGATATATTCATTTTTATTACTAAGAAAAGTTCTTTCAAATTATTAAAGTAATGAAGAAGTCACAAATGCCTTGGGAGGTATCCTTGAATCTCATGTATTTTCAAATAAAAGATGTTTGTACACTTATAAGCAAGTCATATTGTACTGAAAGGTTAATAGTGAAAAATCATCCCCCATGTTCCCTCCTCAGAATTAATTATTTTGAACTCTTTCAACATTTTCTTCTAGTTTTAACTGCTATATTTCGACTTATCATTAGATATTTTCTGTTGACTTTCTGTTATGGAAAATGAAGATGAAGCTCTTCAACTGTTTTCTATTTCTTTCCCTGTATCCTCCCCATATAATTAAGTTACTATTTTCATTAAATAAATCTTTATATAATATTGACAATGTAAGTATCACTCAATGAAAAACCAACTTGTGTTCTATAATTACATTTTCTTTCTTGTACAACCTTTAGTTTTTCCTGGAGTTACTGCTTTTCTTTTTAAATCATATACTTGCTTTCCACACAGCCTTAATTTTTTTCAAGTATTCATCTCCCTATCCTTAAAACTCAACTTAAATATTTAGTTCCTCCTATTTATATATTTATGTAGTTATTTTTTCTCCTAAAAAAATGAAGACCTGTTTTTGAGTCTCATCTTCCTTTTCTGCTCCTTTTAACTCATCTTTTAACCTTCTTTCCTTGCTACCTAGATTTTCTTTCTGTGTAGAAGAGGTCTTTTCTCTAAATCTTTTCTTCCCTTGGAGCTCTCTCTTAGAATCTTCCTTTTTTCTGCCTCAATCTGGATTGCTGATGTTCTTAACTTTTTGTATTGCAGTAAACTTAGAGTTTCTAAGATGCTTTCCTGAGTTACTTATGCTTTTTTCTGTAGTTTCATGCTGTCTTTTTTTTGTTTTCCTTTTCTGGCAGAAAACATTTTTTTGCATTCCGAGAAAGCGGGTATGGAAGGTAACTTTGGGTCCTTGCAGTTTAGAGAATGCTACTTTATTACTAAGAAAAGTTCTTTCAAATTATTAAAGTAATGAAGAAGTCACAAATGGTGGACACTTGGTGGATGGTTTGGCTGGGTATAGAATTTTATCTTGAGAATAATTCCTCTTGGAATTTTGAGGGTATTACTAGCATCCAGAGACTTTGGCCATTCTTGATATACCTCTACTTCTGTTCTATTAACTGGATGCTGTTCTGTCCCCTTCCTCCAGCAGCTTGAATCTCACAGATGTGCTCTGCTGTAAGATGTTCGGGTGTTTAATAATAAAGGGTGTTTCAGCTTGAGATGTGTTTTTTTGTTAAATCTTTGAGTTTCTCTGTTCATCTCTTCAGAAGGCCTGTTATTTGAGTATTGGACCTCCTGGGTTGATTCTATAGGTTTCTTTCTTTCTTTTTTTTTTTTTTGAGACAGTGTCTCACTTTGTTGCCCAGGCTAGAGTGAGTGCCGTGGCGTCAGCCTAGCTCACAGCAACCTCAATCTCCTGGGCTCAAGCGATCCTACTGCCTCAGCCTCCCGAGTAGCTAGGACTACAGGCATGCGCCACCATGCCCAGCTAATTTTTTCTATATATATTAGTTGGCCACTTCATTTCTTTCTATTTCTAGTAGAGATGGGGTCTTGCTCTTGCTCTTGCTCAGGTTGGTTTTGAACTCCTGAGCTCAAATGATCCGCCCGGCTTGGCCTCCCAGAGAGCTAGGATTACAGGCGTGAGCCACCGCGCCCAGACAATTCTATAGGTTTCTTATAGGAGTAGATATTTTTCATCTTAATCTTTTCCTGCTTTCTGGGAGATTCTTATCTTCTGAACTTTCTTGTCGAATTTTATTTTCATAATTTTATTTATTTTTAATTTTTAAATTTTTTTGGAGACAGGGTCCCACTCTGTCACTGAGGCTGCTGGAGTGTAGTGGTGTGATCATAGCTCACTGCAGCCTCGAACTCCTGGGCTCAAGTAATCTTCCACCTCAGCTGCTCGAGTGGCTGGGACTACAGGCGCATGCCACCATGCTGGCTAATTTTTTAAAAACTTTTCGTAGAGGTGGAATCTCACTATGTTGCCCAGGCTGCTCTCAAACTCTTGGCCTCAAGCAGTCCTCCCTCCTTGGCCTCCCAAAGTGCTAGGATACAGGCATGAACCACCTTGACTGGCCATATTTTCATAATTGTATTTAAATCCCAAATATCTTTTTTCTTTTTTTGTGTCTTCTTTTCATAGCACACCAGGGTTTTTCTCTGTTGGATGTCTTCTCTTTTTTACATTGTATCTGTGGCCCTGCTGAGGCTGTTTATTTCTGTGTGTTTTGCATTCATTCATTCAGGAGACTTCCCTGTGTCCTGAGGTTCTTTGGTGCTATGCTTGTGTTTAAGAGTACAGCACTCAGGTGTACTTGCAGCTGTGTGAGTGGGGGCTTTGTTACCTGAACACCTTTGGGGAATCTCCAAAAGATTCAGTGGAGAAGTTTTTCCTCTGGGGTGCTTCAGTTCTCTAGGCAGTATCTTTTGATTTCCCATGGCCAGTGTTCTGCACGAGGGGACAGGGACTGATGGCCCCTCCCATGGTGAACCCCCTCTCTTCCCTCATTTGTCACAGAGATCTGACCTTTCAACAGTCTTACCTATCTATATTCAACTTCTCATTTGACCTCAATGGGATCTGGCTTCCTTTCTCTTCATTTTGGGTCCAACTATCTCTTTCCTCATCCAGGTTTTCTGTGGCTGCATTGTGGGATGTGGTTTCCTCCTCTCAGCTAAGAGTGGCAGCAGTGGGCATCTGAGGGGCTACTCTGTGGTCTGAGCTACTTTTGGGGGCCAGTGGTGCTCTTACTCCTCAGCACTGTGAGCAGCTGGCCAGCTGGTCTACTGCCCCCTTTGTTGCCATTCTAGTCCTTGCTGTTGAAGTGTCTCTTTTGCTGATGTCCTCTCTTACCTATTTATTTGCTGTCTTTTTAAGAGGATCTTGAGAGGGGCGAGATAATAAAGGAGTGCATTTGGTTGTCTTTCTTTCCTAGTCAATTTTGAACCTTATTGGAATTTTTTTGTAAATGAATTTTCCTCTTTTGCATGGAGCATGGTAGGGATAAGAAGGGAGGATTTATTTTGAGATTAATAGACTCAAACAGAACTGAGGAAAACAATTGCAAAGCAGCAATAGGTTTGCCTAATTTCACCCCACATTCTAACTTTCATGTTCTAATATTTTATTTTAAAAACTAGGTCAGAAAAAGAGTGCACGCCAGTATCATGTACAGTTCTTTGGTGATGCCCCAGAAAGAGCTTGGATATTTGAGAAGAGCCTTGTAGCTTTCGAAGGAGAAGGACAATTTGAAAAATTATGCCAGGAAAGTGCCAAGCAGGCACCCACGAAAGCTGAGAAAATTAAGGTGACAGATGATCCTTTAGTATTCAGTATACTTTTTTTTCTTTTATTTAAAAAAATTTTTTTTTCAATTTATAAAATTCTTTAATTCTTTTTTTTTCCACTCTAATAGACATTTTTTTTTTTTTTTTTGAGACAGAGTCTCACTCTGTTGCCCCTGCTAGAGTGCTGTGGCATCAGCCTAGCTCCCAGCAACCTCAAACTCTTGGGCTCAAGCGATCATTCTGCCTCAGCCTCCCGAGTAGCTGGGATTATAGGCTTGCGCCACCATGTTTGGCTTTTTCTATATATTTTTAGATGGCCAATTAATTTCCATTTTTAATAGAGATGGGGTTTTGCTCTTGCTCTGGCTGGTTTCCAACCTCCGACCTTGAGCGATCTGCCTGCCTCAGCCTCCCAGATTGCTAGGATTATAGGCGTGAGCAACCGCGCCTGGCCTAGACCCACAATTTTAATTTTAATTTTTTATTATTGTTTTGAACTTATATTTGCTTGAAATATTGTAATTTTTTTTTTTTTTTTTTTTTTTGATCAGGGTCTCACTCTGTGGCCTAGACTGGAGTGCAATGGCAGTATCATAGCTCACTGCATCCTTGAACTCCTAAGCTGGAATGATCCTGCCACCTCAGCCTCCTGAGTAGCTGGGACTACTATAAGCATGAGCCACCATACCTGGCTAAGTTAAAAAAGTTTTTTTGGTAGAGATGGAGTTTTGCTGTATTGCCCAAACTGGTCTCAAACTCCTGGGCTCAAGCAGTCTTCCCTCCTTCGCCTCCTAAAGTGCTGGAATTACAGGTGTGAGCCCCCGTGCTTGCCTGTAATGGCTTTTTTATTAATATATCTATCATTGTTTACTTTTGCCCAAGTATGCCATGTTTTGAAATATGACAAGTTTCTGTGGAGACACAGTTTTTTTCTTTTACTCATTGATGACTCCTAGAGATAATTTGTTTCATAATTTTTATTTTCCTTTATATGCGTAAGAGACTATGTGTATGTGTGTGTGTACGTATCAAAACATTAGTTAATGTGATTGGGATTGATTTCTGGTTTAAAGAAATAATAGTTATTATGTTGGGCTAAATTCTGTCTAAAACCTAAGTTAATTGGTTTTTATAGTTTTGGATTTCTAAATTTATCTGAAATTATAAACGTATCCTTTTTTAAAAGTGAGTTAACTTTTGTGTTTGTGTAATTAAACTTATAGTATCTTATATATTTTTTTCCAGTTGTTGAAACCTATTTCAGGGAAACTGAGGGCCCAGTGGGAGATGGGCATTGTTCAAGCAGAAGAGGCTGCAAGCATGTCAGTAGAGGAGCGGAAAGCCAAGTTTACCTTCGTTTATGTGGGGGACCAGCTTCATCTCAACCCTCGAGTGGCTAAGGAGGCTGGCATTGCTGTGGAGTTTTCAGGAGAAATGGCAGGATCCTCAGGAGTCCGTGAAGAAGCTGCTGAAAACCTCAAGTTTGTGAGAGAAGAGGGCATTCCCATGAAGAGAAGGCGGAGAACCAAACTGTCTAGCTCCGTTGAGAACCAGGAGAGTGACCCTGGCATAGTAAGGAACAGTCCTCAAAAGATGGCAGAGGTAGACCCCAAAAGAGGAGTTGGGTCTCCTCCTGGGAGGAAAAAGGCCATGGCCTACACTCCACGAAGCAGGAAGGGAGATGCAGCATCCCAGTTTTTGGTCTTCTGTCAAAAGCACAGAGATGAGGTCAGTACTCTCATGGGTCATAAGTTGGTGGGTTTCATGTCAGGAAGTGTCTGCACTTGAGGAGTATCACTTCATTGTTCTGTCACCTGTGTCTCTGTACTATTAGCAGTCTGCAGTGAACTTTGCATAGATTTTAGGTCTGATAAGTATCATAGGGAATAGCCATCTTGACCCTTGGGGCAAAGATACTTGCCTTTGCACTCAGGGTTACTAAAGTGATCTTCCAATGTGGGTGAGAAGATCCTGGGAAGAGTGGAAAGTGGGTTTGGTTTCATTGGAATGCTCTTTGCTGGAACCTCTCCCTTGTCCTTAACATCTGACTCTGGGTTAGCATTTCTCCAGGTGGCTGTTCTGAAGCTTCCAGTATGGAGTACACTCCATTATAAAACTTACTGTATCCACTAGCACTGAGTATGTTGAAGATGTATTTCCATAATATTTAAAAAGTGATATGATTAGGCTGGGCGTGGTGGCTCACACCTGTTCCTAGCACTCTGGGAGGCTGAGGTGGGAGGATGGCTTGAGCTTGGGAGTTTGAGACCAGCTTGAGCAAGAGTGAATTACCATTTCTACTAATAATAGAAAAAAAGTTATCCAGGTATGCTGATGTGTACCTGTAGTCTGCTATTTAGGAGGCTGATGCAGGAGGATTGCCTTAGGCCCCAGGAGTTTGAGGTTGCAGTGACCTATCATGATGCCTCTGCAACCTAATTGGGATGACAAAGTGAAACTTTGTCTCCAAAAAAAAAAAAAAGAAAGTAATATGATTAAAGCATCTAAAGAATTTTCTTAATCATGTTCATAAAATATGCAATCTGTTAGTACATAGTAAAGGCTCAATTCTGTTGTAAAGAAAGGAAAAAATTAGGCCCCTCATTTTTGATTATTACTTGAAGTGAGTGGGTTGTAGTCTAGGGCCTAAAAGCCTTTTTTTATAGTGTTCATTTTAATTTTACTTTCTTGGGAATTTTCTATTCAGTAATCTAAATCCATATGGTGATTAAAGGTACCAACAAGAAATAGGATCTGTTTTCCAAAAGGTTTCCATGAGTGTTTAACCAGCACCTATTTTGTGGCAGGCAGCATGGCACAGAATGGGGCCATGAGTAATTCAGGCAGAGATTCCTAATTGAGTGGTTGGTGGGTGTTCTAAGAAATCCATGGTATGTGATTTTTTTTGTCCCTATTTAGGAACTGGGAAGTCTTCCAGAGAAAGGAGTTTAAGTGGTGCCTTCAAGAATGAATAACCATGAGTTTGAAGAATGTTTTCAAAAAAAAAAAAAAAAAAAAAAAAAAAAGAATGAATAACCAGTAGTTAGAAGATAAGGGGATTTAAAAAATAAATAAATAAATAACTGGTAGAACTTTCTCAGGAGTGCAAGGATGGTTTAATATTAGAAAATCTATTATTGGCCGGGCGCAGTGGCTCACACCTGTGATCTTAGCACTCTGGGAGGCCGAGGCGGGCAGATTACTCAAGGTCAGGAGTTCGAAACCAGCCTGAGCAAGAGCGAGACCCTGTCACTATTATAAATAGAAACAAATTAATTGGCCAACTAATACATATAGAAAAAATTAGCCGAGCATGATGGCGCATGCCTGTAGTCCCAGCTGCTCGGGAGGCTGAGGCAGCAGGATTGCTTGAGCCCAGGAGTTTGAGGTTGCTGTGAGCTAAGCTGACGCCATGGCGCTCACTCTAGCCTGGGTAACAAAGGGAGATCCTGTCTCAAAAAAAAAGAAAATCTATTATTGTGATTTACTCTGTAGAAGATTAAATGATCATCTTGATAGATGGAGAAAAGGCATTTGATAAAATTTATTGGCTTTTTTTGTTGTATGGGGTACATGTGATGTTTTGAAACATGCATTAAAATTAACTGCTTTTTGATAAAAAGTTAATAAACCGGGAATAGAAGGGAACTATCTTAATCCATTGAAGGATATCTATCAAAAACTTTTGTCAAGGTACTTACTTATTGATGAACCTTTAGAAATATTCTCTTTAAAATTATAACTGAGACAGGATGCCTTCTTTCACCACTTATTAAACGTTGAACTTAAAATACTAGCCAGTACTGTAAGATAAGAAAATGGAGTAAAAAGGCATAATTGTAAAGGAAGAAATAAAGATGTCATTGTTTGCAGAGGTCTATGTAGAAAATTCAAGGAAATGTACAGAAAATTTGTAGAATTAATAAAGAGTTCACCAAGGTTGGTGAATGTATGGTTAATATACAAGTGCACCAACAAAGAGGAAATGTAATATTAGAAAAAATACCATTGATAATAGAAACAAAAGTAGAAAAGTAGCTGATATTTCAGCAGACCTAAATAGGACTGTATAGAAAGAAAGATTAACTATCCTGTAGTTGTTCATTTCTGCTGTAGTGATCCCTTTTGCCCTCGCTAGAGTGCAGTGGCGCCATCATTGATTACTGCAGCCTCAAACTCGTGGGCTCAAGCAGTTTTCCTGCTTCAGCCTCCTGAGTAGCTGGGACTACAGGTGTGCACCACCACACACTAATTTTTCTGTTTTTTGTAGAGTCAGGGTCTCCCTCTTGCTCAGGCTGGTCTTGAACTCTTGAGCTCAAGTAATCCTCCTGCCTTGGCTTTCCAAAGTGTTGGGATTACAGTGTGAGCCACTGCATGTAGTCTCAGTGTAATTCTAATAAGACTCCCAGTGGGAATTTTTTTGCACTTTGTAAGTGGATGCTAACATAGCCATGTTTGAAGAAAGACTTGGCCTAAGGACTTTCTGTTATTTAAAACAGTGATGTTCATGCCAGGGACCTACAGGGTAGTGACACTGCCCAGAACAGGGCCGAGAGCCAACTCTTGAGCATGTGGAGAAAAATGGGAAAGGGCTGCCAGTTTGGCAAGGTGGCTGCTCTGGACATGATGCTGGGACCACTGGTGATTTAAGAACGCAGCAAGCGAGGGAGAGGAGCTTTGTCAATTTGGGAGAGGGAAGGCGTTTTAAAATAAGCCAGACTGATCACAGACTAGAAAGGGATGACATTAAAATGAAAATCTATGTGCCAAGGACACCATGAACATAGTGAAAAGGACAAGCTCTGTGCACAGAACTGAAACAATTCCGAAGGAAAAGTGGGGGAAGGCTATAAAAATGACAACATACAGAAAAGCCTGGACAGTCAGCAAGTATGGGAAGAGATGCTGCTAACCCTCAGCTGTCACCAGGAGCTGCAGATTAAAGTCATGGTGGGATGAGACCATATGGTCACCCAGTGAACAAACACCAAACTCGGATGAGCTTGGGGCTGAGAAGATGAGCAGCGATGGTGGAGGAAATGTGTCAATATCTAGTAAAATTGAAGATGTGCTTTCTTTGTTTCTTACAATTTCACTCCTAAGTATTTCCTCTAGAGTAATTTTGCTCTTGTACCCAAGGAGACACCACAGTGTCCAAAACTAAAAAGTCGTCAGGTGAATGGCAGACTGATATGTTCCTGCAGTGTAACACTCTACACTTCAGTTAAAATAAACTCACCGGGTGTCAAAGAAGAAAGCAAGTTGCTAAGAGATATGCAGATCCTATCACTTAACATTTGAAACATGCAACATACACACTATTTCATTTGACCTACCCCTCTATCTTTGTCCTTCCAAAGAGTGGAATGGGTAGCTGTGAAGGTGTGTGCCTGTGTCCAGGAGGAGGTGTCAGCACCTAGTGGTGGATGGGTTGTGGTCACTGTTGGATTTAAAATAATATAAAGCTTCCAACAACTTAATAGGAGAAAAATCAGATAATCCTATTAAAGACTGGGCAAAGGATCTGAATAGACATTTCTCAAAAGAAGACATACAAATGGCCAACAGTTATATGAGAAAATGCTCAACATCATTAGTCATCAGATAAATGCAAATCAAAACTACAATGAGATATCTCATCACAGTTAAAATGGCTTTTATTAAAAAGACAGGCAATAATGAATGCTGGCAATGATGTGTAGAGCACTTGTACTCTGTTGGGGGGAATGTAAATTGGTGCAACCATTATGGAGAACTGTATGGAGGTTCCTCAAAAAACTGAAAATAGAGCAACCATGTGACCCAGCAATCCTGCTGCTGGGTATATATCCAAAGGAGGGGAATTCAGTATGCTGAAAAGGTGTCTGCACTCCCATGTTGACTGCAGCACTATTCACAATAGCCAGGACTTGGAATCAAACTGTTAATCAACAGATGAATGGATAAAGAAATGATGGTATATATACACAGTGGAATATTATATAGCCACAAAGAAGAATGAAATCCTGCCATTTGCAACAACATGGATAGAACTGGAGACTGTTATATTAAATGAAATAAGCCAAGTCCAGAAAGATAGATCTCATGATGTTGATCATATCAAAGGCTCTCTCTCCTGAGGAGGGTGTCTCAAAGGTCCAGTAGTGGCTGCATTCCAAGATGGCTATTGCGTTCTCAACCTGTGATTCTTGCCTGCTTTGAATGACAAAGCAGGTCTGCATGGAGCCACAGGATGAGAGCCAAACAAAGAGTGCTTAAAAGCAAATAACCAAAAGAACCAAGTTCCTGCTTATTCCTGACAATCTGTCTCAATCCACAATAACTAGATAAATATGATGCCACTATATCTCTGTGTTATTTCTCTGTTAAGTGGTAGCTATGTCTTAGAACTTAGAAGTTTGTCTTTGAAAGATCTTGTAACCATTTGTTCACATAGATAGGGTTGATTAAGGAATCTTTAGAAGCCCTTTGAAAAACTTTTAACCCAAAACAAACTACCTGTTATTATGTAAACCTGTTACCCCTGACAATTGAACTACCTGTTATTATGTAAAGGATATCCGTACCTGTAAATACCTATGTGAAACTCCACTCCTGGCCTCACAATTGACAGGGTTATTGTAGGGTCCACTGAGTACCCTCGCTTTCCTATTTCTTTCTATAAATCTATAAAAGTATACCTTCATCTCTGTGTATTCTTTTATTTTCATTATTTTCTATATTCTATTATTTTCTTGTCCTTTGCGACAACCCCTGCCTAAGGGACCCAATTTTTCACTGGGAGAAGTAGCTAATCTTTTCACATCACATGTTCTTACTCTTCCATGGTAGCTAAATATTAAAACAATTGATGTTATAGAGACAGATAATAGAATGATGGTTACCAGAGGCTAGGAAGGGTAGTAGGAAGGTGAAGATAAAGTGGGGAAGGTTAATGGGTTACATTCTATAGTTAGATGGAATGAACAATATTTCATAGCACAAGGTGACTATAATCAACAATAATATACCTTAAAATAGCTAAAAGAGTAGAATTTGAATGTTCCTAACACAAAGAAATGATAAATGCCTGAGGCAATGTATACCCCAATTACCCTGATTTGATTAATTCACATGGTGTTCCTGTATCAAAACATCACACGGGCTGGGCACAGTGGCTCATGCCTATAATCCTAGCAGGGAGGCTGAGGCAGGAGGATTGCTTGAGGTCAGGAGTTCGAGACCACCCTGAGCAAAAGTGAGACACCATCTCTATTAAAAATAGAAAAAATTAGCTGGGTGTGGTGGTGTGGACCTGTAGTCCCAGCTACTCTGGAGGCTGAGGCAGGGGGATCGCTTGAGCCCAGGAATTTGAGGTTGCTGTGAGCTGTGATGAGGCCACTGCACTGCAGCCTGAGCTGCAGAGCAAGGCTCTATTTCAAAAAAAATAAAAAAAACCATTCCGGAATTAATGTTAAACACCCTTCCCCACCCATACCTGGTTCTAAGCCTTCCTCCTCTCCAGCAGGGTTCAGGAGGTGGTTTGTTTTGACTAATTATGTGTTGTCTGAAAAGTGATGTTTCAGTGACTTTGTTATTATTAGGATTGTATCCATGCTGACCCTGTCATAAGTAATTCTAAACTTACATTGAGGAAGCTCCTCCCTGACTGCACCCTGCAGAGTGATCTGATCCCTTCTGGGTTCTTTTTTCCTCTGGGGAGTGGCATTTCTCCTGGGATAGTTTCTGTGTGGTCAGTTAACCAGCAGCCAGCCTGGGAGGGAGGGAGTTGGGTGGAGTCCCTGCTGCTTCCTGGGCCCTCTTTTTCTGGGGTCACTAGATGGAATGCTGTGACTGTCAAGGGGCTTTTGTTGCCACTTTCTGTCTATGTTGGAGGGCAATTTCTAGCTTCCTTCTTGCCAGTTAAAAAAAATACTATGCTTTTTGAGATAAATCTTTGGATGTGTGAAACATTTCGTTAACAGCTCTTCCCCTGTCTGTCAGGCTTAGCTGAGATGTGCAGCTCATGTATATATTTGATTATGTTCCTGGAACACAGCCGAAGGGACTGGCGTAGGGAGGGAAGACACTGTCTGTGGAAAAACTGATGTCCCCTTTGTGTGAAGGTGATAGAAAACCTGAGCAGGGGAGAAGATGAGCAACTCGGGCAGCTGCCAGCATGGTGCTCTTGTTTAGTCTGCATACGAGGTTCCCTACTGTGATAAAAAGCACTGCAAAAGTTGACTGAAGGCTTCATGTAGCAGCAATTTAATTAGCAGACTTCTTAGGCTTGTGTTTCCAAGTTTTAAAGTCTTTTCCACCTTCCCTTATCTTAATTTTTACAGATTCATTAGAGTTGAACCAATGATTTATGTCTCTGTTCTTTGTATATGCCTTTGTATTAGTTACCTATTGTTGTACAACAAGTTACCTCAATACTTAGTGGCTTAAAACAACAACATGCATTTATCATCTCACAGTTTCTGTGGGTCAGGAATCTGGGAGCTGCTTGGCTGGGTGGTTCTACCTCAGTCTCTCTCACGAGGTTGCAGTCGAGATGTCAGCTGGGGCTACATCATTTGAAGGCTTGACTGTAGCCAGTGGATCTGCTTCTGAGTTGCCTACCTCACGTTGCTGGCAGGAGGCCTCAGTTCCTCACCATGTGGCCCACTCTGTAGGGCTGTTAGTGTGTCTTCATGACACAGGAGCTGGCTTCTGCCACAGCGGGTGATTCAAAAGAGGGCATGGTGGATATCTGTAATGCCCTAGGAGGCAGGCTCATGGCCCGCCTCAGAGGATGAGGCTGGGCTGCAGCACTCTTCTCTGGAGTCTAAAAACAAAAGCTCTAAGAAGTGTGAGGGGCAGGTGGGATGCAGGAGGGGATGTGATCTATGAACCACACCTAAGCACAGGTTTTAGATGTGAAAGGAAGGGTGGTCCTGACCGTTGTTGATGCAGCAGCTGTGGATACTGTTGTGATTCATTCTAATCTGGGTTAGTGGCTAAACAAGGGCAACAGGCCCATAAAGGAATGTACTGTTTGGGGAGCTTGGCAGGCACCTTGTGGATCTGAAGCCCTGCACAGGAACCTTTGCTGGATGATGATCTGAGAAGACCCGTGGTGCTTGGAGAGTTCAGAGATGGTGAGCTCAGCAGTGGGTGCATCAGGCAGAACAGAGCCCCACAGGCTCAGGATGGGCTAGGAATGCCCAGATGGGGTTGGGGGAATAGGGTTCTCCAGAAGAACTGAGTGCCAGAGTTCAGAGTCAGAGTTGGAACTGGCATCCTGGCGATAGGAGGTCATTAGCCGTCAGACTGGGTTTGACTGCAGATTGGCATTCACCCTCATCTAGAGCGGTGGTGGGTAGGTGTTGGTGGTGTTAGTGTCCAGGCAGGGGTACAGCAGCAGCAGGATGAGGGCTGGATAGGTGGTCACGTGACCCATCCAGGCAGCAGGAGGCCAGGTGGCGGCATGGGAGGCTATGAGAAGTTGCCTGTGGTGATTGCCTTGTGAGGAAGGTTTGAGTTTAGGGGCAGAGGTTACCTGTGTTGGCTGGACAGGTGGTTGGTCTAGGTGGTGATAGTGACTAGCCAGCATTAACCCGCTAATTCCATACCACTGCCAGGTGGAGTGTTGCTGCCCTCATTTCACAGAGCAGAGGCAGAGACAACACCTTACTTGCTCATGTTCACACACTGCTGAGGATGAGCCAACATCTGGTCAGGTCTGGTTCCAGAGTGTGCTGATCAGTGCTCCAAGTCAGTCAGCAATCTTCCAGGGCCTTGTGGGCAGTGAGGTGTCTGCCCTGCCTGCTCAGCTCTGCTGCTGTAGCCTGAAAACAGCCACAGATAACACAGAACAAACACGTAACACTGTTCCAATAAAACTTTGTTTATGGACATTAATTATTGAATTTCCTGTAACTTTTGTATGTCATGAAATATTCTCCTGACTTTTTTCAAACATTTGAAAGTACAAAAATTTTTCTTTGCTCATCAGCTCATTGTCCCCTACTCTCTGGATCTATAGCTCTCAAACTTGGGGCCACGTTAGCAACCTATAAGAAACCTTTAAAGCACTTGTGCCAGGCCTACTTGTCCCAGGATTTGAGTTGGTGTTGGGTGGGACCTGAGCACCACAGGTGTTAAAAATCCTGGGTTGTCACCATGTGCAGCCAAGGCCCAGAGCCCAGGGATCAGACTTCCATGTATACTTGAATCTCCTGGAGACCTTGTCAAAATGCAGATTCCTAGTAGGCAGGGCTGGGCTAGGACTTGGGAGTCTACATTTCTAGCAATGTCCTAGGGGGTGGATGCCAGCAGCCCCACTATGGCTGGAGGGCCAAGGAAGCCCTGTCTCTTGGCTGTGCAGTGGTTGTTTCTGTCTGCTGGCCTGGGCTGTAACAGAAATTGGGACATACTCCTGGGTGTACTGTTCTTACCACCCACCCAAGGCTCATGCCTGAAAGATGAGCGCTGTGGCTAGTGATGAGTGCCAAGCTGGGCCTCTTCACCTCCCTGCTTAGAGGTGGGACTTCCGTGGGATTCGCACTGCTGCTGATTTTTCAAGGATGCCTGGCCTAGAAACTTCTTACAAAATGATTTATCGATCTTGGAAAAATATATTTTTTCCTCTTTTTGCCACTTGTCATTTCTTATGTTTACATAAATATGTTTGCATTGTTTTTACTGGTACAGTTTTATTTTATTTTTGAGACAGAGTCTCACTTTGTTGCCCAGGCTAGAGTGAGTGCCGTGGCATCAGCCTAGCTCACAGCAACCTCAAACTCCTGGGCTCAAGCAATCTTCCTGCCTCAGCCTCTCCAGTAGCTGGGACCATAGGCATGAGGCACCATGCCCAGCTAATTTTTTCTATATATTTTTAGTTCTCCAGATAATTTCTTTCTATTTATAGTAGAGATGAGGTCTCGCTCTTGCTCAGGCTGGTTTCAAACTCTTGACCTCGAGCAATCCGCCCGCCTCAGCCTCCCAGAGTGTTGGGATTACAGGCGTGAGCGCCTGGCCTACTGGCACAGTTTTAATTTATGAATTTTCAGGGAGTCACAGTGTCAGTTAAATGCCATTCTTTGAAGCTTTTATGGGAAATAGTTTCATGATGTGGGAATAAAAATGCTCCACACTAAGTTCTAAAGGGCCATATATGTGATTTGAGGTTTATGCATTTAACCTCCTTACTGTACCCCTTTCCTGTGTTCACAGGTGTTTGCTGAGCACCCAGATGCTTCAGGTGAAGAGATTGAAGAATTGCTTGGATCCCAGTGGAACATGCTCAATGAGAAGCAGAAAGCACGCTATAACACCAAGTTTGCCCTAGTGACCTCTTCCCAGTCTGAAGAAGATTCTGGTAAACATAAAACTGCACTAGTATCCTCTGCTTAGGTGCAATGTGTGAAGTGTAGCAAACTGAGCTCTGGTGTTGGAACTGTAGGGAATTGTGTCCATCTCCCTAACTCTGACCCATGATGTTTGGGCCAGCTGCCAGGGTGCCTGTGGTCACAATCAAAGCAACCTGTGCTGTGCACATTTCCCTACTCATCATGAGAGCTGTTCTGTGTGATCCTTTGTCTGGCCTATGGGTCCCTTGCTCTTTTGCCCAAGTGAAGCCAGCACTGCAGTCACTGCTGCTGATGGGTCATGAGGGGTAGGATATGTGGAAGGGAGCCAGGTGGTTCTAGGACTCCAGGACTGCGGGATGTGGCTGGGTCAGACTTCAGGCCAATGGTTACCAGTGAGGCTGCTCTTCCCACGCTGCTGAGAGCTGTTCTGGCGTGGAGGTAGTTCCTGGCCTATTGGCTGAGAGCTTGCAGGGTAAGAAGAGTGACTGGACTGACCTTAAATTTGGGAGTCTTTTGGTTCTTCCTAGGCCTTCAGTTTAAAAGCAAAAAATGGGCTGGGCACGATGGCTCATGCCTATAATCCTAGCACTTTGAGAAGTTGAGGAGGGAGGATCGTTGAGGCCAGGAGTTCAAGACTGCAGTGAGCTATGGTTGTGCCACTGTACTCTAGCCTGGGCAACAGAGCGAGACCCTATCTCAAAAAAAAAAAAAAAAAAAAAGTGCTGCTGTGCTTCAGGCATTGGTAAGAGTTGGGAGACAACACTAAGATTTGGAGAAAATGTAACAGTGGTTAGGTTTGTAATCTATGTGTGCTTGGATACATAAGTTGTGGAAAACTGATATTTTAATGTAAAAATGAGTGTGACATATTTGGGTATCCATTTAAAGTACAAATTCTGTCTGCTGGCTTTGGGTTTACAAAAAAATAAAAAAATAAAGTACAAATTCTGTATCTCTCAAAGCTCATTATTGAGGATATTTGGAGAGACCAAACTTAGTGTTTCAAGACCCACCTCAAAGGAGGCCCAGAAGTAACCATAGTCTGGTGTGCTCAATTGCGCTCATGGAGCCGTGCTGTGTGTGTTGGGCTGGTATCCCACTTGCGCTATATCACCTTTCTCTTTTCCTCAGATGTTTTTATCTTGTTTTAGGACTTTCTAGATCTCCTCATCAGCTATCTAATTAATCTTGAATCTTGTTTAATTTGCTCAGTGTTTGTTGCAAACAGCAACGATTTAGAATAGCATATTCAGGATTTGTGTATTTTCTTTAAATGGCAATAGTTTGCCTCAGTCTTCATCAGTACGCTAAATTTAGAGAAGTATCTCTTTTCAATGATTTGCTTGTTTAAAAATGAGCTGGGGCCGGGCGTGGTGGCTCATGCCTGTAATCCTAGCACTCTGGGAGGCCCAGGCAGGCGGATTGCTCAAGGTCAGGAGTTCGAAACCAGCTTGAGCAAGAGCAAGACCTTGCCTCTACTATAAATAGAAAGAAATTTATTGGCCAACTAATGTATACAGAAAAAATTAGCCGGTCATGGTGGCACATGCCTGTAGTCCCAGCTACTTGGGAGGCTGAGGCAGGAGGATCCCTTGAGCCCAGGAGTTTGAGGTTGCTATGAGCTAGGCTAACACCACGGCACTCACTCTAACCTGGGCAACAAAGTGAGACTCTGTTTCAAAAAAAAACAATAAATAAATAAATAATAAACAAAAATGAGCTGGGTCTCCCTGAAGCCAGATTCAGCTTACTCTTGAAGAGTAAGCGTGACTCTGATTGTATTATATTTTGCCATTTGGGGCTATTTCTAAGCACTTAGTGACAGGAGAAGGGGCAGGTGGGGTTTCTGTCCACAGCATGTGTCAGGTGCACTGATTCTTGGGTGCCCTTTGTCCTTCAATTCCAGGTGAACCCCATACTAACAACAAAGATGGTGTATGATACCTGTATGTGACCTGACCCTTTGTCTCAGTGTTGGAAATGCAGGCAGTTGTCCATACTGCTTATTTCTGTAAGAAACAACTACTGCCTCATTCTAGGTAGAGGGAAAGGTACTCAGGAGGTGCTTATGTGAAGGCCTGTGAGTTCACCTCACTTGTGGGAAGACGAGGCAGCAGGTTGATGCTGCCCCTGGCAGGTGTCTGGCTTAATGAGCAGATGCTGATGTAGGGTTCTAGGGAGTCAGGCTGCCTGTACTGCTTAGTGCTCATGTTTGGGCAGTGGCTGAGTGGATTCTACCATCCACCACTCTGCAGGCCTCGCCTGATGCTGCTTTTGCGGTCAGCCTGTGGTGGTATAGGGGTAGCTTGGTGAGAGCTGCTTGATGGGCCCTGATCACCTCAGTCTGGAGCCCAGCTCTCTGGTTACTTGGTTCTTCTCTAGTAGTAACCTTAGGCCAGACCCAGGGTGAGGCCTGCTCAGGTTGGCACCCAGGGCAAGGATACTTGTATCTCCTCCGAAGGCTCTGCTGGATGCCATGGAGCTCAGCACTCTTGTGCTGGTGTGTTCTGTCCCCAGCAGTAGTGAGGCTTATGGATGACAGTGTCCTTCCACAAGACATTTGATGAATAATCTGTTAGTAAAAAACCCTGAACCTCTGTAAAGGAGGCATGCAAATGAAAATACTGGATTTGTGGTTAAAATAAACATCGGCATGTTCAAATTCCTCTTTTTAGAATTTGTACTCTTGTATTTTATCTTTCAAGATCAGTACTTTTTGGACACTTTAGGTCTTTGATTAGTTGATACTTCTAGGAACACCTAATATATGGCACAGTCAAACAAACATGTAGAAAGCCCTTAATTTGCAGATATAAATGTATTGCTACTTAAAATACTTATTTAAGGTATTGTGTAAATAGTGGCAGTTGTATATTTTTTTAAAGTTCAACTTAAATTCTACATGTTAAATTTGAATGTTAGCAAGAGATTTTTTAAAATACTGGGTTATTTTTATTTATTTTTTTATTTTGGCATATTATGGGGGTACAGATTTTAAGGTTTCAATAAATGCCCATTCCCTCCTCCCCCCACAAGTCTGAGTCTCCAGCATGACCATCCCGCAGATGGTGCACGTCTCACCCATTATATATGTATATACCCATCCCTCTTCCCCCTCCCACAAAATACTGGGTTATTTTTAAATTTAATGCTACAATACATTAAAATATAATTATAACAATACCAATGTAATAATCTCTAGATTAGATAAAATATTTTCAGTCTCCAGTTGAAATTTGATGTGTAAGACATAAGCCCTGGAAATCATCAGGATTACAGGAAATCTGTCATGGGCTGGATCTATGTACATTGAAGCTTTTGGAGGGCAGCTTTTGGAGTGTTTTTCATGTAAATTTCTCCCGTTCTCCATTCCAAGGTAACTTAAATGGGAAAAAAAGAAACCATACAAAGAGGTCACAGGACCCTACAGATGGTGTTCAAGTTGAGGATGCACCCAGGAAAAGACTCAGGACGGACAAGCACAGTCTTCGGAAGGTAATTATATGGTCTGGGTTTGCCTGGCCTATTAGAACATGTGCCATGTGACCCTTGGCGCCAGTGTTTCCCTACAGGAGAATGCAGACAGGACCCAGTCAGTGTCTTCTCAGCTCTCCCCAGGGTGGCACTCAGCAAGTAAGGCTTGCTTTTCTCATGAACCCTATTGAGAAATGCTGTTGAAGAAAGCAAATTTTTGTTATCCTGGGATGTTAACACAGAAACTGCTGATAATTTGCTATCCAAGAAAACAAACATCCAAACACTTTGAGTGATACTTGATTTTTGGATTGGACAAAATTGTATATTGAAAATAACTCTTGTCTGTAGGGCTTATTATTCGAGGTGTGAATAATGAGTTGACGTGAAAGTCCATTAGAGATATTTATTATACTTCATTAAAGAGTTAAAGAATCTATAGCCGGGCGTGGTGGCTCACGCCTGTAATTCTAGCTCTCTGGGAGGCTGAGGTGGGCGGGTCCTTTGAGCTCAGGAGTTCGAAACCAACCTGAGCAAGAGCGAGACCCCGTCTCTACTATAAATAGAAATAAATTAATTGGTCAACTAATATATATATAGAAAAAATTAGCCGGGCATGGTGGTGCATGCCTGTAGTCCCAGCTACTTGGGAGGGTGAGGCAGAAGGATCGCTTGAGCCCAGGAGTTTGAGGTTGCTGTGAGCCAGGCTGACACCACGGCACTCTAGCCAGGGCAAGAGAGTGAGGCTCTGTCTCAAAAAAAAAAAAAAGAATCATTAAAGGCATTGGAAATAGATTTATGAACTCATTTAGTTCACTAGTAATTCATGTTACTGTTTACTCAATGGGAATACTAAGCAGGCTGCATAGACCTATTGGATGCAAAAGAGAAAGGAACAGCATAGATATGAAGGACTGGCTTTGCCTAAAGGCAGCCCTAGGTCCTTAGACTCTGAGCATATTCCCAGGATGTATCAAGGGACCCTGCAGGAAGTGAAACTGACCACAGTCGATATATCCAAAGAAACACTGGATTATTCTGTCTAGCAAATGGCATTCATGCATATAGTAAAACAGAGCCCTTTTTGAGCATATGATGCTGTGCCAGTTATCTCAACCAGCTCTGAGGTCCAGTTAGCTTTTTCATGATGCGAAAGTTTAAATAGACTTTGAACTTTATATTTGAATTTCTATTCAGTAATAGTTCTGACAGTGAAGTCATATATTTATACTTTTGAGTAAAGTTTCATCCTATCTTTTACTGATCTAAATTAAGACGCTGTTTTTACTGTTTTATTTTGAAGAACGGAAGATAAATCTCATATTGATAAAGTGTAAATGTGTGGACACCACATCCTCTGTCTTATTTCTTTAAAGTCATATTTGTAGTTCAGGGAAGCATTTGCATTCTTCTGGGGCACCTGCCATCAGATAGGGTTGTTCAGTGATCAAAGTTTTCAGTAATAAGCTAAATAAATTTATTACTCCAGGTGATAAATTAACCTGGAGTCACTAAAGTTTGTAGTTACCAGGAAGCACATCCTTAATATTTCTTCTGGTCACCTACTATTAAAGCAGCCTTTTGCTGGAAATCACACTGAAATTGGTTGTTTTGAAATATGTATATAAATAATATCCCTAAAAAATGTATGATCCTAGACATTTGAAATAGCAAAATTCACATTAAGTAGCTAGGTAGAAATATTTTTATTAAGTAGTAGCTGAGGAAATAGCACATGGTAAAGTAGTATTGTCTCCTCTGGTCTGGTTTTCACAACCCTAAAGCCACATCACATATGATTCCTAATGTGAATAGAGTACCTCTGACGTGCCAGCACTGTCCCAAGTGCATTCACCTGCTACTTTGTCCACACTCCTTGTCACCGCTCCCTGCTCACCTGCGGCATCCCGTCCACCTGTCCTGCTCTCAGGCAGGTGGGAGATGTAGGGTATGAGTAGTGCAGGGACCTGCCTCCTGGAGTGCAGGGTAACCCCTGGGCAGTACTTCCCTAGCACTTTGGAGGCAGAGCATTTTCAACTACATTATTCAAAATCTCGACAAAATGTTCAATTCATGATCCCTTCTCTCTCTCTTTTATTTATTTATTTATTTTTGCTGTTCTCAGTTGTGAAATGTGTTTTACTGATCTTTGTTAAGTATATCTGAAGGTTGTCTCAAATTGGAAATGCTCAGTGTAGTGAATTAGACTAGTAATGTTGGATCTAACATGGCATTGCTGACTTTAACTTAATTGGGCACCTCTTGAGTAGAAGGATAGATTTCCTTAGATTAATACTCTGCTCTGGATTCAGTGGAATGTTTAGGAAGCATGTTGAATACAACTTATGTCAGGTATCTTAACATGACTCACCCAGATCATCCTCCTGATGGATGTGAGAGCTGGAGTTGCAAAGAAAAAATTAGTCCAGATTGTTAAAAGAATATTCTGAGATAGGACAACCATGGATGACTTGTGTATTTGGGACACATTTCCAATCTCACATGAGATTTCTTTCCTTCCTTTTCTTTTTGTCTGTTCTTCTTTTTCTTTTCTTTCTTGTTTTTTTTTTTTTTAATAATAGAGAGACACAATCACTGAGAAAACGGCCAGAACAAGTTCTTACAAGGTCACAGAGGCAGCCTCCTCGCTCAAGAGCCAGGCAGGTAATGTGGCTAGCGTTCCTTCCTTCTTGACTAATTCTGAGTACCTGGGCTGGGCTAGGTGGGTGTACAGGGTGGCCCAGTGGGGGGTGGGCTGAGAGTGTGGAAGGGAAGGAGGGGCTGAGCAAGGAGAACAGGGCAGGGGAAGGATCTACAATTAAGCTAAAACCTAAAAGGATAAGAAGGAAAGGAGGTTCTCATGCAGCTGGGAAATAAACTTTTCTAATTAATAAGCTGTTTTAAGGATTTGGCTAAATTTTATTGAAGTTTCCTACTGATGTTTTACTTGGCCTGTATTGTTTTCAATTTAAAATTTTACTAGAGAAGTGATTTAAACCAGAAATTTTCAGGTTTCTTACTTGATAGTGCCAATTATTGCTATAAATTCCACCACTCTTCCGTATCCTTATCCTGTGTGTAACTAAAAGTAATGGCTGGTTATTTCTGTTTCACATGTTAAAGAAGCTAGCTTAAAATCTTTATGAAAAATAACTATCAAAATAATAAAAAGGGCAATCATATTCCATTTTAGTTATCTTTTTGAAATACTGTGTGATAATTTATAAGGAAGGCTTACTATGTCTCTCTTTTTTTTTTTTTGAGACAGAGTCTCACTCTGTTGCCTGAGCTAGAGTGCCATGATGTCAGCCTAGCTCACAGCAACCTCAAACTCCTGGGCTCAGGTGATCCTCCTGCCTCAGCCTCCTGAGTAGCTGGGACTACAGGCATGTGCCACCATGCCCAGCTAATTTTATATATATATGTTTTTAGTTGTTTTTTTTTTTTTTTTTAGTAGAGATGGGGTCTCACTCTTGCTCAGGCTGGTCTCGAAGGAGATTGGGAATGGCTGTTTTTATTGTTTTGCATGATGAGGTGCTGTACTGGTGGTTTTTTTTTTTTAAAGAGACAGGGCCGGGCACAGCCCTTCACGCCTGTAATCCTAGCACTTTGGGAGGCCAAGGCTGGAGGATCACTTGAGCTCAGGAGTTTGAGACCAGCCTGAGCAAGAGGGAGACATCCCGTCTCTACTAAAAATAGAACAATGTGGTGCCATGCGACTGTAGTCCCAGCTACTTGGGAGGCTGAGGCAGGAGGATGGCTTGAGCCCAGGAGTTTGAGACCAGCTTCGGCAACATAACAAGACCCTGTCTCTTTAAAAGAATCAAGTCAATCAATCAATCAATCAGTTAAATAGACTGTTAAAAAATGACATTTGTGAATGATTGGAAATTTGAATGCTGACTAGATATTTGGTGATTTGATTTGTAAGTATGATAGTGGTATTGTGGTTATATTTAAACTTTATGTTTTAGAAATTATACTCTATTTTCCATGGTTAAAATGATATGTGTGGGAGTTGCTTCAGGATAATTTGGTAGGGGGATATGGAACCCAGGTGTGGATGGAGCCACATTAGCTCCAGCTCAGTGATCTTGGGGCCCAGGCAATAAGGACATGGGGTTCATTGTACAGTTTATCTGCTTTTGTTTACATTCAGATTTTTCCATGATAAAAAGTTAAGCCAGAGGAACCTAGAAGATTCATCATTAGAACTTCACTTGTTTGAAGGGTAATTTTAAAGCAGTAAAGACATTGAGGGTTTAAGATTTCAAACTTTATTTTATAAACCAAAATTGTTTTGCAGCAACGAAAAATCTGTCTGATGCATGCAAACCACTGAAGAAGCGAAATCGAGCTTCTGCGACAGCATCTTCAGCTCTTGGGTTTAGCAAAAGTTCATCTCCTTCTGCATCCTTAACTGAGAATGAGGTAAAATAATAATGATAATAATCATGATGATAACCATGGCATTCATATGAAGGCCAGCCACTTAGCTACCAAGTTGTAATGTGAGTAAAGGGTCAGACTTAATAAGCATAACATCGGTGTTCTCCATAAATGTAGGTGAGTTTTAGATCCTCTTAACTATCTAAAATTAATGAAATGGAAATAAATAATGCATTATTTTAGTCTGAGCACTTTAAATATAAATACACACATAGTGTATGTGTAAATGTTCATATATACTTCAATCTTGATGCAGTTTAATTGTTCTTGAAATCTGTCTTTAAAATGTTGTGTTTTATATCATCCTCACACTGTTAAGTTTTAACATGAAAGTAAGTCTGCGTTGGTTCTAGCATGACACACTGTGTCAGTTGAGCTGACACTGGTCATTGTACACTTATACCAGTGGGATGAAGGGTGGCTCACATGCCACACTAAACTCCTGTGGCTTCCAGACCTATGATTGTGGAGGAAGCCAGAGATTTCTTTGTCCTCATGCGTTTCATAGCTTTGGGTCCATGTCTTTGGTCCTTTAAATTCTGGCATATTCTTAGTTACTTGAGTGTTGAGGTGAGTCAGAACTATCATTGTAATAAGACTCCTGTTTTCTGAACTTGCAAAATATATGATAGCAAAATAATAGCTATTTGAGGCTATTACCTGCTATCATTGTAATATGACATCTAGACTTTATTATCAGAGCTAAAGTCTTTTCCATTGCTAAAAATAAAACAAAAAACGGCCACAGAATGTAAGTGTGACCACTTTTTTGTCCAGAGGTAGTTTTGGTTTCCTCATCTTAGTGATTACCTTCATGGAGCTTGCTTTGAAGTTTTAATTTCTTATTATTTTGTTCCCTGTGATTCTGTTTTTCTCATAGTAGACATGAGTCTTGTTTTTATATTTATGAGGAGGTAGGCCTTTTTGGAATAAGGTAGTGAGGCAGAGGCTGGATAGGCCTCTTACTCTTGCTGGGTCAGAAGGCCCACAGTCCCCAGGAGGGATGGGATGTACCTCAACTGCCTCCTCCTATTAGAGGAGGGGTGGGCCTTCCAGTGTGTGAAGGTGCCCAGAGAGTGCTGCCCTCGCCGTTGTGAACCCTCAGTGCTGGTGCAAATAGAGACTACTCCTCTGAGTGGAATTTTCTTCAGTGGCTCAAACCAACTCAGTAGTGGTCAGGAGCTGCTCACATATGTGGAACTGGGGCTTGCTTATTTATAGTTGATATGTATAGATAACTAAACATTTCTTATATTTGGGCAGATTTGAGAAAATGCAGTAAGAATTCCTTACTGAACTTCTAGGAGCTTACTAAAACACAAAAAGGCAAATTTTATGCAAATTATTTTTTCTTTTTTCTTTCTTGTTCAAATTCAGGTTAGTATCCTAGAAAATTAAACGAAAGGTAGTCTACAATTCCAAAGAAGAACATTAAAAATAAAAAGTTTTAGTTCTTGTAGACCCTTTACTTTAAGTTGGCATTTTTGTTTTATAAAATTTTCAATGAGTTTTTTTTTTTTTGGCTTCATATTTTGGTCCACTTATCTGGGTGAGTTTTTACGTATACTGTTGTCAGGTACCATAGAAAGAATACTGAGGCTACTGACATCCTGTCTGTGATTCCTGATCATAAATCCTGTGTATTAGAGGCTTTGGTTTAGAGTAGCACATGGGCTGACATAGCAAGGGTGAAGGCTGAACAAACTGATGAGGCATGCCTGTGAATCAGGGGAGTTTAATCTTTCTGGCTTAGATGGTTGTTCTGAATATGGGTAAACTTAGATGAAACATTTTATAATTATTAGACTTAACTGATTTAAAATTCTTTAGAATAGATTATTAAATACATTTATATTATATATTAAATACATGAAATTCATATACATTCTTACATTTTAAAGGTGATACATAGATCCCATAGTATGCATTATGTTCCGTATATAAAAACATTTAAATTACTAGGTATTTTCTATTAGGCTACTTTTGTGTGGCTTATATAAATTTTCCATTAAAGTTCATTTTTATAGAATTATACTGTTAATTAAAGCAACTTTAGTTAAACAGACTAGTCTATTATGTGTTAACACTACTGAACTGTAGTAAATGTTTACAATGTATATGATGCTGAATGCCTGTTAGCAGCATGAGGCAAAGTGTAGTGTTATTAAAACAAAAAACAAAACACTTTTGGGCCTGGTTCTGACATGAATTAAGTGACCATGGGAATTGCTTTTTGGGGGTTCAGACTGACCACCTATTTGGGTTATGTACCTTTTGCATGTTTATGTTTTCTTCCTTTCATCACACTTGATTGAAATAAGAGATTTTCATAGGATTGGTATTTCAAGACATTTTAGATCATGTTGTGGTTTAAATTCCTCTTGAAAAAGGTATATATGATAAATAAAATTTACATTGGAATAATTATTACATGGTGCTACATCACCCCAATGAAGAGAATAGATTAAAATTACACACTTGCATGACAAAGGCCTGTGAAGGAATTAATGTGATTTAAGTGTTTTGTAACTTCATTTCTTATTCCCTTAGTAGAGCAAATTCTTATTTTTTTCGCCTTCACTGGTAACAGCTTTTATGGGAGCCCACATCAGTCAAGTTGGATTTGAACTCAGCTGCCCTGTACTGCACTTAAAATGATGTAATATTCCAAGATGCCTGCTGCAGGTGGTGTATCATCGTACACACTAAGTGACATTTCTATCACAATCATTTTATGGAAGATGTGTGATAATCTGTTTTTACTGGTATTAATAAACACATACAATGAAGAAAACAGATAACAAATTTTAAGACCAAGGTAAGATACCTAATCAAGGCCATTTACTCAATCACATTCATCTCATAATAGAAACACATTCATATTCCAATGGTCAATGTAGATTTCAGTTGAAAAACAGGCCCTTCAATCAGGGGCTGTCCAGAGCGGCAACAGAGACACCGCACAGAAGGGGTGGTCCTGTTAGAGGTCATTTTCTCCTCTGGTTCATAACTTACTGAATTTTTATTGAAAAGTGTCAGCATCTGTACCTTCAAAAACAAAGAACAAATAGTACACATTAAAAGGGGTCTTTGTCTACTATTCTCATTGCCAATGAAATGTATTCAAGACTGTAGATACTAAACTAATTTCCAGTGTAAAAGGCAGGAAGAGTTTTGATTCTGTCCTTTTTTACTAAACAGTTTTACTATGACACTAGATGTAGTAAATTTTTAGGAAAAAATACCATTTAAAGTATCATTGTGAACCATTTAACTCTTTTGATTCAAGGACCAAGATATATATATATATATATATGCACACATACATACATACATATATATATATATAATGTGTGTGTGTATATATATATGTATATGTATATATCTAAGGGATACTGTAATCAGGTTATTTATACCAGCCACTTCATACTTCATCAGTTGCTTTTATAGAACATCAGCCCTCATGTTTCAGTGTCTTAATCTTGGGTGAGCAGCCAGGTGTCCTGCCCCCAGGTGTCCGCATGTTTGCATGGCGAGGAAAAGGCTTCACTTGCCCTTCAGGTCATAGATGCAGAATGCATGCTAGTCACAGTACCATGTGAATAGCCTGCAATTCATTCCCAGCAGACTCTTCAGCTGTGTTTTACCTTTAATGAAACTTACTGACTAATACTTCTGTTCCAAACCATTAAGTGATGTAACGCATGTAACATACTTAGGGCGCCTGTGCCTGGCAAGGACTACGTGGTTCGCTGTTGTGACAGTAACAGTCTAACAATAAAAATAATAAAATCGCCATCATTCTATTTTTATCCACAAGTATAAATTTTGCTTTGGCATGAAAAGTGGTCCCCTTGACTGCATTATGCATGTGGGACAGAATAAACCCAGAAGTGGCAGAATGCTAGATTTGTTTGTGTGGCACTTTAGGGAGCTGGGCAGTGTGGCTGAGGGCTGGTTGGGTTGCTCTGCTGGCTGTGCTCAAATGTTGTGGGATACATGGCCTCAAAAATGGCCTAGGCGTGATCTAAGTTGCACTATTCCTAAAGGACATGAAAAAGCTTAAGAGTAAATTTAAAACTCAACATAAAAAATCACTAAATTGAAAGATGTGGAAAAAAAATGACATAACAATGGCCCTGGTTCAAGAAGTGATCACTCTAGTCTGAAAGGCTTTTTTTTGGCAAGAATTAAGGGATTTCATCTGAAATTACAGCATGATGAATTTTGAGTGGGTGGCCAGCCAGGTAGGCCATATGTGATATATGCATTAGAAGTCAGCCATGGCATGAATACTTTCCTCTCTGTTGTGGAGGAGGAGAGACCCTTCAGAATGGCTGAATGGTGTATACAGAGTGGCATAAAATCAGCCTCAGCTGGGGGCCTGGGGTAGCAAGGATGGAAATTATGCAGTATTTCCCAACTTCAGGAGACAGCACCCTCTGAGACATTTGGAGGGTGACCAGATAGGCTGAGGCAAGTGTACTACACACCCTGCAGTGAACTGTCCCACTCCAGATGCCAGGAGTGATCTCATTACAGAGGAGCAGAGCTTCCTGAGGGCAGTTAGTGGAAAGGAGCTCTTGTTTGAAAGAGCTTAGGAGGAGCAATAGTTTGTCTGCCAAGAGTACAAAAATTCATTATGCTACGAATTTAACATGGGATTCCTTCATTTCCTAGAAATGTCAAAATAGCAACAATACATTCTAGCCTTAAGTCATTTGAACTTCCGTCATCCAAATGAGTTTGCCTATGTTGTCCATAGAGCCGTTCTAGTGATCTCCTTTGATTTCCTTCTGACTATCTTTCATACACCATATTTATGCCTGTTGGGGGGAAGTAGCTCTCTAGTATAAAAACTGAGGCATTCAGGAGAAGTGAAAAATTATCACAATATATAAAAGTTCAGATTGTAGCTGTTCTAAAACTGAAAGTACTCCATTGTGATAGAGTAGCATCTCAAGGGGGTGTACATGTTAGCAGTAGAGGTCCTGCATTGTTTTTCTGAGACAGATCTGAGAGCCACTGGGCTGCCAAGTCTTTAAATAGCCACATCTAAAACTGCTCCACCTGCTATAGATGGATTTCTCTCTCTCGGGGGCCATTCTTCAGAGTTCATCCAAAAGTTAAATGTCTTTTTCCAGTCATGCTGACTTTAGGTGTAGTTATATCTCAGTACTTTCTTTAGTATACATTATATCTATTATATCTGTATCTCCCAGCTGAAAATAACTCCATTATTTTTAAGTGGATGTTCCTGAAAATCATCAGGAAACCTAAGTGGAGTTTCATGATACAGAAGCAAAGTTTTATATGATAGAAGTCAGAGGGTGGTTCTGTGCACTACACGGAGTCCTGGGGCAGGAGCCAGGAGCCCAGACCCCCATCTGCCCCATTGCCTCCGAGGAGGGTCAGCCTACTTTTCCCATGGGTGGAAATGGCCTAGGTGATCCCCATGAGGCCCTTAGCTTTAGACATATCTGATTCCATGGTTTTGGTTGGAACAGTTCATGCAGAAGCATAGGAAGATTTAAAATGGGGTGCTCAGGGATTGGGGAGTAGGAAGCAGGCACGGCTGTTTTGAGAGGCTTACATAGTTGTAGATGTTAACAGCTGAATATACCTGGGGGAAGGAAGAAGAAAACTTGGTGTGGGACCTGAGCTGTCAGAAAAGAAGTTTGTGAGTCTGTGATTTCTTGGCCCTGAACTCCTTGCCCAAGATTTGTGCCCAGAGGTGTGTGAGAGTGGCCAGACCATAGGGCCAGGCAGAACAAACATCAGCTTGATGGTGAGTGGCTCTAATACCTGCTGATAGTCTGTCACAGAAATGTTTTTTAAAAATGAACAGTGTTAATTAGCATCTAGTTCAGAAACAGACAAACTTTCTTGTGGATGTATATAAAATTAAAATGATTAGAAAATGCCCTTGAGAAGGTTCTTGCCCAGAGCATGAAGTGAGTATGTGATGTACCTGCCATGGCAAGGCTGAGCTGTGGTTTTGTCCACCCTTTCAGTCCTGGTGTGGGTACGGGTATGAATGAGTATTTCCGAGTGAGAAGAAAGTCCTTAGTTCATTTAATCCAGTTGAATAAGAACAAGCTCTTGGTGAGTGAGTGGTAACTGATGTCAGTTTTAGGTATGGGCCTGAGCTGTGCCCAGAAGGCTGGTCTAAAGCAGAGGCTTCCCTTCCCTGGGGAGAACACCGCTCTGATAGCAGAAGGTGAAAAATAAGATTGTTCTGACTTTGGAAGTTTGCTTCATTTTTTCCAACATAACGCACTTGATTTGATTTCTAACATAACACACTTCTCAAACATCTGTCCTCTTTAAATTGTTAATTCATTTTAAAGATTCTCCTGGTCAGGCTTTTGTACACAGACTTAGATTATAAAGCTAAATTATAGTTTTTTGCTGGAGAAACCCACTATCTTATTAGAAAAGGTTTCTCAAAATGCTCTCAGAGCTATTACTGGCTTCTTTATTAACTTGTAAAGTTTTTGGTTTTTTGTTTTTTTTTTTAAAGAAATATACTGACTCATATATTTTAGGATTTGGGATCAATGAAATTGATTTTGACCCCTTTAGATACTGTTGTGTTTTTTTTTTTTTTTTGACTAGTCAAGTACAGCAGAGAAGGGAGAAGATACTGTTCTTATTGCTTTACCCAGAATAATAGAAATGAGCACTAACTTACCTGCCAGTGATGTAAAATTGACTATCCTTAGCAGGTAGAAAATTGTGAGTCTCTTATTCATCTCATTCTTTGTACTGGAAGGGTAAGAGGTATTTTCACCAGCAAGGGCATCCCTCCAACAACGCGATAGGCCTCATCTTATTAGATACCTCTGTAACTACATGGTTACACGTTAGATCCACATTTAAAATTTTTTCTAGTCTACTTATAGTTGTTGGGCTTTTTGCATATAATTCTTTGCCAGTATTTTGAAGCATGCTAACTAGACATATTGTGTTGTCAAGAAATGACTGATGTGGGGACAGGGGTCTTGGCCCAGCTGAAGGAAGTGGGGGTGGAGGACTGTAGGCAGTTTTGTCATTGTTTTGAAGTCCTCCACAGACCATGCATAGCCCTTTGCCTGCAGCTGGTCAGACCAAGCCTCTCCCAAATGCACTCCCTATGGGATGGCCACTGCTCAGGGCACAGCTAGGGCAAAGCTGGGTTGATAGGACATTTTAAAGACTCATTTTACTTCTGATAAAGGCATGGCCTGACTGCAGCCACAGCCACCACTTGATTCTCTTGGCTGCCTTCTTGGGGCTGTTGGATGACACAGAAGCCCACGTAGGTTAGAAGATGACTGTGAAGCACAATGATGTTCTGTGAACTGGAGATTTTTTATGTTCTCAATGACTCATGCCTTGCCCTAACCTTAGAATTTAGGGGCAGCTAGGAAGGTTCTAGTCTATGTAATCTAGAAGGGTCATTTTAATAAAAAATTATTATGAATTATAGTATTTTAGATGATGAGCAACTTATTTTAAAGTTACTTTAATTCCACTTTAATATTTCACTGTGATGTTAACTTGGAAGACCTGTTTGAGATTAGTCTTTTAAATTCATTTTAAACTCATTAAATCTGCTGAGAACAGGGTTCTTACAATTTGTAAATCCAAAACACTGTGTGAAAGTACTTCTAGTTATCAATTTCTTCCTTTACAAAAGCATAACTTAAACATGAAAATAATGTTGGTTTATAGAAATATTTGTTGTTCAAGGTCTGTAATTGTATTTCAAAAATGATGTAGCATTCAAGTTGTGAAGGGATTTGTTTTGTCAAAAACTTAAAAACTTAATGTGTATAACACCACTCTGAAGGGTAGGGGACTGCTTTGCAGTCACGGCAGGTGGCACTTGACTGCGGTTCACATAAATCACCCTGAACAGCCATGTGGCTTTTAGCAGTTGGTTGGAATGTATGCCCTAGGCTACATTATGTTTGGTAACAGCATCTTGAAAAGTCCCTGCTCTATGTCAAGGAGACTACTTTCCCCGCCCCGAAGGAATGTATTTCTAAGGCAAATAGGCAACTCCATACTATCTCATATTGAGTAGAGAGTGGAGAAAGTATTTTCAGACTCAAGAAAACTTTCAAAAGTCAGGAACTAAGCTACTCGGAAATCGGTGCCACAAGCGTGGCCATGGTGGACGTGGGAAGCGACGGGAAATTCTTGACAGTCTATGTCCATTCAGTCACTGCACTTTTCTCTTTCCAAATGCACCCTGTTGGACATGGAATAGATCATAGATGTCTAGACTGAGATCTGGGACTGTGTTGGGACCGCACAGGTGAACGTGCCACGTCCACAAATGGCGTCTCCGAGTGAGTCACGTCACCTGGGGTGTGGAGGTGGTGCCTGCCGCTGGAGTAAGGCTCGTTGTGTGATGCCTGTGTACTTTGCTCTTCTTGCGGGGTTTGCTGATTGGAGAGCATTGGATCCTTCTCGACTGTGGCTAGTTTTTTGTCCAGTCACTGGGAAGGGGTGTGGTGGGGTAAACGTCGGAACCTTCTGCAATCTGTGTCATGGACTGTAATGTTGTAAGGTCTGTATTCTGTATGTGGATCTCAGACCCCAATCAGGAAACGAGCCTCATGTGTGTCCTAACATTTATATTTCCATTCAAAATATGTATTTCAGTGTTTATTTCTTCAAAACAGACTTTGTTAATTTAGTAAATATCTCCAAGTGGAAACGTGCTAACTTTTTCTGTAAATCTTAAATAAAAGGTGCTGTTCCTTCCTCTGATCCAGGACTGGTTTGTGTTTTCTGTCTTTCTCTCCATGCATTTTTTTCTCTTTTTTAGCTTTTAAATTTGTTACAGCCATGTGAAGGAAAGAGCATGGGGTGGTGGTAGCGCATGGGGCTCTCTTTCCTTGAGCCCAAGTGGAGGCCCCTTTCCATGGGTCATGGTTCCTCCATCAGTCAGATGGCTCAGCCTCGGGCGGCCATGTGGGCAACTGTGAGTGGGGCCCCAGCCAGACAGGGAGGCCGTTGCTTCCCAATGCCCCAGGCTCCCCCAACGCCCACCTCAGAAGCACTTAGCCCCCTCCTGTGACCCTGTATCTGATGGACATGTTAGATTTGGGGTTCGAACTCAGATATTTCAAGTGGCCTCTTTGCGGATGTTAACGTCACAGCGCAGGAGGTGAGCCAGTCTTGAGGGTGGGCTGCAGCCCCTACAGGCCCCCAGCTAGCCTCACAGTGACAGAGCCTCACCGTGGGGCAATGCACTGATTTAGTGTTTTTCATGCTACTATTTCCATCTTCCTTGACAAGGTGAGGAAATTGAGTTTAAAAGGCAACTTTTTCTTCAGGCTGTGCTATTACCAGATGTGTCTAGTGAGGTTAGAAGAGCAGCCCATTTGCCAGTCAGGGCCAGAAGTCAGCCAACTTTAATGCTAATTTAAAGTCAACAAAAACTTCTGTGTTTATTTTTAATTTTTTTTCTTCCAGTGCTCCCTGTGATTTCAGTGAGCTAAATCTGGGAAAAGCTCATTGATAAGGCTACAGGATTGATCAGAATCCCTGGTGGGTTCATTCTTGTTTTTTAACGTGGCCGTATTTCAACTTCTGGCTTTGTGTTCATCCACAAAGAGCAAGCCTATAATGTAATTACTTGTTGTGAGTACTGAGGTGTACAGGAAATTGAGTTCTGTTTCATCTCTAAAATAGAATTTTGACACTTACTTACCTAACATCAAATAAAAACCAAATTTTTTTTAACACCTGAATTTGATAGACAAGAAGGTTTTCTGTTTTATTAATTTGAACACTTACTGCTTGTCAAGCAAGGATGAGATGCTGTGTACAAGGGCAAGGCTTGGGCCTGGTCTTAATCATCTCTATTAAATGAAGGACAGACGGATGAAATACAACCTGAAAATTATTCTGTTTACTCAGAAATTCCACTTCTTTCTCCAGGGCTTTTTACTTAGACTCAAATGTTAGCAAAGTAGGCATTATGTTACTTTCCCTTTTCCTGCCTTACTTGCTCTGCTGGGCAGGTGTGAATGAAATAAGAATCTCAGGGAAGACATGACAATGGAAGGAAGAAGAGCAGCAGGGCCAGTTGCCTTCAGGTGTGAGTGAAGACCCCTAGCCTCTGGGTCAGTACGCCAGCGGGAGCACACTCTTCTGGAAAGGCTGGTGGTCTCTACCTAGGCAACAGCGGGACAGCGCAGTCACCTGATGAGACCTTAACATTTGACAATTCATGTTGGTTCCTTTAAAAATTCATTAGGCACTAACGTGTTTTTCTTACCTAAAAATAGTAGGAAGTTGGGTAAGAAAGGTCAAGATTCTCTGTCCCAGTGCCCGTCTTAGTTCACCTATTAGAGCAAATCAGATTTTCATGACTTATTTCATTTTTAAGGAATATGCCTCATATATACATATGTATGCTAAATATTGAGTAGGATAAAGTTCGTTTTTGAATATTCTATACAGCTCAATTGACAAGTTGTATTATCACAAAAACCAATTGATGATGGGAGTCACTGACAGTGATGGGTGTTGAGAAAGACTCTAAGAGATGAGGCCAGGTGGGGCGAGTCTCTGAAGGGGGCAGCCACTCACTGTTTTCTGCGACTAGTGAACTGTCGTCCACCTTCCTTCATCTCCAGGTCTCAGACAGCCTGGGAGACGAGCCTTCAGAGTCACCATATGAAAGTGCAGATGAAACACAGACTGAAGTATCCGTCTCATCTAAAAAGTCTGAGCGAGGAGTGACCGCCAAAAAGGAGTACGTGTGTCAGGTGAGGGGAAGGTAGCATCTGCTCTATCCATTATGGCACCTGTCGAGGGCTTTGGGTACAGCAGAGCCAGGCTGCAGCATCTTCTCTCCTCCCTCCAGACCCTTTCCCACCTGTCCTCTCTCACTGATCTGTTTTGAAAGAGCTAAGTCACTAGCAGAGTCCTGGGATTAAGTTGCCTCAGCTAACATCCTTTGTTCATGTGCAGGATGTGTGTTTCATATACATGTCACATATAACATCTAAAGGTCATATGTTAGAAGAGGTGGGGGTGCTAGGCTGATATTCTGGTCTTACTGTTAACACCACACTGGGTGTTAACAGCCACATGCTGTGGCTGAGGTGAATGTCAGCTGACCTGTGCCCAGGGGGCAGGAGTGCACACGGTGATGAGGGCCCAAGTTGGTATCCTGCTGGCACCGTGCCCTTGGATAGGTCATCTGACTTCTCTGCCTTATCCCCTGCCCCATCCATAAGGTGGAAATAAAGTCAGACCTTCTGTGCAGAGCTGGTGATATGTGAGAAATGCTAGCACTGTGCCTCACCTGCAGCCAGCTCAGTACCTATCACCTGCTCTAGGATGACTGATTTTTGATGAAAATGTGCTGTGGGTTTTCTTGATTTCCAAATCTGAGTTGAAACATATTGAATGTACCCTGCAGGGTTTTGATCCTGTTGTTTCCTTCACCATTGTTGAGGAACTGACTCTTTTCTGTAACATGATCTGGTTTTGATCTGATACTGTATTTATTATGGGTTCTGCTCAAACTAGGCATTTCACTAGATACCTGTGGTTATATTTCTTTGAGTAGCAAAACAGAATTTTCTGCCATTGGAGACAAACTGTCCCTTTGTGGTAAGGAAGAGTGCAGAAGGGACTCATGCTGGATTGGCTCATGTGGCCCCTTTCTGTCCCCACAGCTATGTGAGAAGACAGGCAGCCTCTTGTTGTGTGAAGGCCCCTGCTGTGGAGCTTTCCACCTCTCCTGCCTTGGACTTTCCCGGAGACCAGAAGGGAGGTTCACCTGTAGCGAGTGCACCTCAGGCAAGTTCTGTTGCTTCTAAGGCTTGTTTCCGAGGGTGGGCAGTTCTGCAGCTCAACTGGCCGCCTTTTCCTCCATGCTTCTCACTAGTCTTGTCCTGAGACACTAGCAGAGAGCAGGCTTCCTCCCCCACACTACCTAACCTGTCCTTCAGGGGAGTCTGCAGTCTGCACCTGGCAGGTGTGACCACCTCTTAGAGGGCCCCTTAGTTTGCTCTCTGATTTCAGCTGTGTGTTCCCCTGGGTACATCCCCATCAGATGGTAGGCCTTACTACTTCAATGAGAGGACCAGTTTGGTATACAGTGACTGACTGAGGGAGGGGATATCAGGTTGTAGGCTTTGCCACACCCTTCCTATGGACTGGCCTGAGCCTTGTTCTGTCTGTGAGGTGGCCATTGCAGGCACTGCAGCTCTATACAGCCTGGCATTGCTAGTGCAGGTAACCTGGATGGTCACAGAATGCTGAAGTTCATAGGTGTGTGAAACTCTTTATGAAGACATGGTGTCTATCTGAGCTTCAGTTCAGCAGAAGGAACAGCTCCAAGCTCACCCTGAGTGGTCAGAACTTTAGTTCTGTTGCTGCATTACTGTATCAAGATTCACTGTACACGGTCTAGGGCCATGGAGGGCAGATGGGCTGCACAATTGTGGCCCTGTCTATTTGCCAGGCCTGAGGGCTCTCCTGGCTCTTGTCAGAAAACATCCTGGATTAGGGAGACTCTTGGAGAGGCCCTGAGCAAGGCAGCTCGGCAGCAGCTCCTCACCTCTGAAGGTGTCTGCCTATGATTATGAATGATTCTGCACCATGCTTTCAAGGAGGAAAAGCCTTTCTTCAGAGGAGCCCCTTCCCTTGAACTTTTTGCCTGCTAGAGTGAGCCTCCCCAGCTAGGCTGCCTAGTACAACTGTACTGTATTTCAGGTGAAGCTGGAGCTCACATCACAGCAAGGTAATCCTTGATGGCTGGATGTTTTTTTCTGAAGAATGCTTGGACCTAGTCAGCAGGGTTGGAAATACAGCCAGATGTTTTAGCAACATGGGCTGTGTCTGCAAAAGAGCTGCTTGATTTAGTGGCTTAGAACTACAATTTAATTCTTATTGATTTACTTCTCTCTCCACCCCTTTAACCATTTGTTAGGGATTCACTCGTGTTTCGTGTGTAAGGAGAGCAAAACAGATGTTAAACGCTGTGTCGTAACTCAGTGTGGGAAATTTTACCACGAGGCGTGTGTGAGGAAATTCCCTCTGACGGTGTTTGAGAGCCGAGGCTTCCGCTGCCCCCTGCACAGCTGTGTGAGCTGCCATGCTTCAAACCCTGCAAACCCAAGGCCATCGAAAGGTACAACTGTGCCTGCACTGTCCCATAGGTGCTTTGAAAGGTGGGCATGGCATGGCAGTTTTGGGGTTTGTCACCAAAGATCATTAATCTAGTTACTGACTTGGTGCAGGTTGGGTTAGGGTTTCCTTTGACAAAGGACCTGCCCCTTATTCTCCTTTCCCTCCTAAATATCATTTTTAATTTTAGGAATGGGGCAACCTCGGAACCATTTTGATAGATTATTTTCTCTGTTTTTAATGGCCCTTCATATGTAAGAAAAACATTTTTAGATCGAATGACATTTGCATTATTTAACATTAGGTGTGTGGGATTGAGGGTTGTAGGTTGTTTGACTCCAGCGGTTTTCCACCAGAAGTAGTTTTGCCCACAGGGGGAATTTGGCAATGTTGGGGGATATTTTGGTGACATGCACCTGGCATCTAGTAGATAGAGGCCAGGTATGCTGCTAAACATCATATAGTGCATGGGGCAGCCGCCCAAGTGCCCCAGATGCCAGCTGTGCCAGGCTGAGAAATGCTGGTTGACTTTATTTTAGAATATGGCATTTCGGATGGTTGGCCATGTTCTCAAATATAGTTTTGAAGCACCTTTGTGTAGATGAAAGGTATTTTTA